ATGTGTTTATGAAGTCTGTCCCTTTTAAATCAGGAAAACTGCAGGTTTCTTAGCACATTGATGAAATCATAAATAGTAGTTCTCTGCCTTGGTTTTTTTTTAATGTCTCCTAGGGCCTGGCCCCAGACTTGGCCCTCAGCAGGGCCTATCACTTTTTTGTTTGGTGGTGGTGGTTGTTTTATTTTTTGAAATAAAAACCCCCTGTCTGGGGGAAATACCCTAATGAGGTAATTCTCGCTGCGGTGTTAGTGGCAGGTGTGCTGTTTCGGTCGCCGACGTCTTAGGGGGCCTGGATCGCTGAGGCTCTTTCACGAAGGTGGGGTGACAGTTGGGAGGAGGGCCCACTGCAGAGACTGACCGACCTTTCCAGGGATCACCCTCCAGTGCTTGCAGCAACCCCAGACACAGTGTGACAGTCCCCACCCTATAGCCACAGTGAGGCAGAGGCTGGCGGATGGGAGCCGGGAGGGGCACCCGTGCTCTGCCCCCGTGGACAGCACTGGTGCACCCACAGTCCAAAATTCGGGGCCCTGGGCAGCAGGAGAGCCTGGGGCAGCATCCACAGACTAGTGTATGGTGTCACTGTGCCCCGGGGTGCAGCCAGGGACCTCGACAGACAGCCTCCCTGCCTGCCCACTGGACGGACTGACTGGTCATGGGAGGGCCCGGCTGTCCCCAGTCCCCAGGCCTGTGGGCCTGGCCTTGCCAGGCTGGCCCTCCACAGAGCAGGGGAGGAGGGGAGGGACCTGTGGTCGCACGTGCAGGCCCCAGGCCCTGGTGGGCAGGCCGGGTTGGGGGACAGGAGATGGGAGGGGTGCTGTGTCGCTTCTCATATTTTCAGGGCTTTGGCCTTGGCCCTGCAGGTCCCAACCCCAAACCTCGAAAGCAGCAGTGAGGCGAGGAGGGCAGCCAGGTAGGAATTCAGACCGCAGGTCTGGCAGGAAACTGACCTCCAGCCTGGGCGAGCTGCAGAGGGCCCCCAGGAAGCCCTCGGGGGACAGACCCCTGGAGCTACCCTTGGCTGTCACCTGCTTCCAGCAGCTGTCCCCGAGCAGGACCCGTGTTCCGGTTCCGCTGCGGGCCAGCTGTGTGTCCTGCAGCAGACACGGCCCCCTGGGCCTGCCAGGAGCAGATGGATCAACACCTCCCTGCTGCCTCCTCTCCCTGCGGGGCTGGGGCAGGCTTAGAGGAGGGAGGCTGAGCTAACTACGGAAATACGCACAGTAACAACCACGGTCGAAACAGCTCCTGCTGCGGAGCCCTTTCCACCACCCAGACCCTCCTAAGTGCTTTTTCTGGGTTAATGGAAAAGGACACGAGACTCCCAAACTCTTTGTTTGAATATGAAACCTGGCAGAACTGTGGGTTTTATTTTTACCTCCAGGCATGTGGGCGAAGAGGGAAGTTCCAGTAATGTCCTTCTGACTTAACAAAGACGCTCACGAGTAATTCTGCCTTTGAGGAAACAGAGACGTCTGTTTAAATATTAATATACTATGGCAACATGTTATTAGACAGGACAGGCAACCAGAATTGCAGACTTTTCCAGAATTAGAGATGACTTGCCAGGATACGGGAATCATCTCTGAAGTCAGGGATCCTTAGAAGGCCGCGTTGTCAGAAGTCACATTTACGAGGGCAGTTTTCCAAGCAGATTCGTGGCTGCCCCGCTTTGGCTGCGGAAGCTGGGAAATGTCCGGAAGCTGGGACATTTCCTCCTCCTTATCTCGATGAGCTCCGGGTCAACTTGGAGAAGCGTTCAAGGGTCGCAGCAGCCGGCAGGGAGGGCGTGAAGCGTGCTCCGGAGATGGGAAAGAGCAGAACGGAAGCAGGCCGGTGTGTCGTTTCCACCTGCACGTGCGTTTTTTTACTTACTTCTCCCAGACAAGGAGGGGGTGTTGTCATTGTCCCCGCTTCGTGCAGGAGGAACTTCAGAGAAGTTCACGGCTTGTCCAGGGTCACAAATCGAGGAAGTCGAGGGCTGTCCTGGCGTGGATGGGGCTGCAGTCCCCGAGGAGTGTGCTTGGGGTCCGTGGCGGGGGGGGGGCAGGCCCCCCTGTGAGTACGGTAGCTGTATTGGCTGTACCTGTGGCTTAAAACAACACAAATTTAGTCTCTTGCAGTTCTGGAGGCCAGAAGTCCGAAATGGGTCTCGCTGGGCTGAAATCAAGGTGTTGGCAGGGCTGCGTTCCTTTTGGAGCCTCTAGAGGAAAATTTGTTCCCTTGCCTTTTCCAGTTTCTAGAAGCTGCCTGCATTCGCTGGCTCATGGCCCCTTCCTCTATCTTCAAAACTAGTGGTGCGGCTTCTTCCAGTCTCTCTCTGACTTTGCTGTTCTTGCCTCCGTCTGTCACTTACGGGACTGTTTTGATTACATTGGGCCCACCCGGATAATCCCCATCTCAAAATCCTTAATTCCATCACACCTGTAAAGTCCCTTTGCTGCATAAGGTAACGTATGCACAGGTTCCAGGGATTAGGACGTGGGTATGTTTTCTCGGGGGGGAGTGGTTATTCTGCCTACCACAGTGGCCTTGGCCTAAAGCTTCTGCCTTTGGGAAGCAGCCCTTCCCCCCTCAGGAAGTTTGATGGGGATGAGAACCCTCCTCAGGAAGGCCCTGCCAAGGGACCAGCAGGCGCTGGAGGCTGGTGACCCGGTGAGGGACAAATGCCTCCATCAGAGCTCCGGTGCTTTGGGGAGGAGACAGTGCCCAGGGGGACGCCACGTGCCCGTGAAGGGGCTGGCCCTTGTGATCAGCCCCGCATTCAGGATCAGACAGACCAGGGTCCCAAGCCCGGCTCTGCCTCCTCCCAGCAGGTGGAGTGTGGGTGAGGTGCAGGAGCAGGGAGGGGCTGGAAGGGAGGAAACAAACAGATGCACCCACGTGACCTCATTTCACCTTTACCGCAGCCCCACAGGGCAGACTTCTGCTCCCCTATTTTGCAGAGGTGGAAACAACAGCCCAGAGAGATCAAGTGCCTTGTCTGAGACCACACAGATGCTAGGTGGGAGCTGGGACTTCCCGGGCCCCAGGGTTCCCAAAGCAACGCCGCCCACTCCGCCTCCAGGGCTGGCTGCCACACCCCGTGCTTCCTAGGAAGCCACCAGGCTGTGCCTTCCTTAGTATTTTCTTTAAATAGACTTACTGCTTTTCAATTTAAATGCATCTGTTTTAAAATGAGACTATATTACTCCTATAAATGTAAAATCACCCAATTCATGGCCTAGTTATGTATGTTTTTATAATGCACATTAAAATGAATTTATTACTATAAACATAAAAAATGTTCATCCATAGACCATGAAAACTTATCCCACACACCATCAGTGCATTTCATCCCTCTCTTTGGAAATTGGCTCCACACCTGCTCTGGTTCCGCCCGATCATAATGTTATCAATGGCCGTGACTTAGTACGATAGGAAAGCTTCAAGTGGTTTCCAGCACAATCCAGTGTGGATTCCCCGGCATGGGCTCAGTCTTCTGCAGCTCCTGCTTTTCTAAGCTGCAGTCCCCCTGCTCTGGCCTTGCTGATCTCAGACAAGGCAGGGCTCCTCTCGTTGCTCTGGCTACGCAGCCAGAAAGTGCCAGGATTTGAACCCAGGCCATGAGCCTGTGGAGCTCAAGTTTTACTCGCTGCACCATGTCACCTTTCTGTGATGTCAGGTCAAAGCAAGGCCTAAGGAGGAAAAGAAACAGGCTTGAAAATGAAGTGGGGAAGGGATTGGCTGAGCCCCCTCCGGAGCCCCAAGCTGGCAGAGTCCCCTTGGTCTCATTGGCGAACAAAGAAAGGTTGAATCAAATCTGGAAGCCAAGTTTCGTGAGTCCAATAGAGCAACTCCTGCTAAGGGGCAGGAGCTTAGAGACTTTTTATAATCCCTCCAGGGGTGGAAATGATGGGCTGCAGCAGTGTCCAATCCTAACACAGATCTCCAAGGAGGGCGGGGCTTTGTGGCAGGTCCTGTCTGCTGTTGGTTAGAAGCTTGGCATTGCAAGGGCTCTCAGCTTCGGACAAAGCTGGGTTTCTTCCAGGAATTTTGCAGGTGCTTTATAGTCCCTTCCTTTCTTGCAATATATTTAATAGTTAGTTTATCATCTGAGAAGGGAGTATAGATCCCAGGGTAGCTTGCTTAATAGTTGTGGCTTATTAATTCCAGCTTTTCCCAAGAGTGAGGAGGAAAAAAATCTCTGATTTTGTGTGAGTATCAGGGCCCACAATGGAGGGGGAGGTTTGACTGAGGGTATCAGTTGTGCCCCACCCAGGGCCTGGCACGTGGTTGACGGGCTTGCTTAGTCATTATTCTCCTGGCCTGGTTTGGAGCCCTGCACGCCTCTTCAGAGCTCGGGAAGGACATGATGCTTCCTGAGACTGGGGACGGGGAGGTTAGAGGAGAAACGGCAGCTCTGGGGGCGACTGGTAGAACCAGCCTCCATTCAAATGCCCTGTCCTTCATTGACTGGCTGTGTGACCTTGGAGAAATCATTTCCCACTCTGTGCCTCAGTTTCTTTGCCTGTCAAATGGGGACAGTAATAGTACCTGCCTCAAAGGGTGGAGGTGAGGATGAGAGGAGTCAATTGAGGCACCTGCTAGCACATGTGGGAACTGCTCACTAGACAATAGCTGTTCTTGCAGCCAGACCATCTGGGTTTGAATCCTGCCAGCAGCACTAACTACTGTGTGATTTGGGGCAAGTGCCTCGACCTCTCTGGACCTCTGTTTCCTCGTCTGGAAATGGACTTGGTCGAGGTCCCGGCTCCCAGGGGTAGTGGTTCACATCCAGTAATCAAGGTGTGTGAAACCGGCAGCCTGAGCCCTGGCGGGGCAGGTGCTGATGGTGTGAGGGCCTGAGCTCTCCAGCAGGCCCCTCTGGGAGTGGCAGGAGGGAGCCCCTCCTGGGGCTCTCTGAGCAGGCTGGGCCCTTCCCCCGCGCCCCCAGGGCCCCGCCCAGCTGTGACGAGGGTGCCCCTGCCTGTCTAGGGGGCAGGAAGGAAGTGAGGAGGGCAGCTGGCAGCTTCCCCTTTTCTGATCTGCTCCAGGCTCTAGGCTCTTCACCCTCAGTGCCTCAGAGGAGGGGACAGCAGCACCATGGCCCCCCACGCGGCCGCCATCCGCCAGACCTGCTGCTGCTTCAACGTGCGCATTGCCACCACTGCCCTGGCCGTCTACCATGTGGTGAGTGTGCAGGCAGGCCCGGGCTGCGTGCGTGCCTGCGTGCGTGTGTGGGTGGCCCCTGGTCTGCTGAGCCCCTGGGACCGAAGGACTGCTGCTTACCACCTCTCTGTGGGACCCTTGACAAATCCCTTTCCTGCTCCGGGCCTCAGTTTCCCCCTGTGTCACATAGGGGGAGGGGCTCTGCAGCGCCCCAGAGCAAGTATCGGGAGCGGAGTGCTCCTTCTGCGCTAACGGAGCGACGTTCTCGGGGAGGCTCAGTCTCTGCCCCTGTGAGATGGGACACAGCCGCAGACACGAGGTTGTCTGTGCAGACCAGCAGCAGACGAGGAAGTGCCGGGAGTGGGCGTCTCGGGAGATCGGCAGGGACTCTTGCCAGGAGTGAGGTCGGCCACAGACTCAGCCCCGATTCTCCCCTGGGCCTGGACGGGGCTGGGGCCTCCCGAGGGGGCGAGAAGTGGAACCTCTTCTTTGTGCTTCCAGAGGGGAGGCAGGAGCCCGGCCCTCTTGGCTCAGAGCTCAGTGCAAGCACCGCCTTCTCCCCGCCAGAGAAGACCTGGCGCTGCACTGGCGAGGAGGGCGACTTGCCCGGCCTGGCTCGGGACAACGGCCCCAGCAGTTTCTGTCTGGGAGCTGGTGGGCACGGCCCAGGAAGCCTGTGTCTCCCGCTAACTCACAGTGTGGCTCTGGGCAGGTCAGAGCCCCGGGCCCAAGCCTCCCCTGTCTGGGGAGCCTGAAGGTCAAGGTCCCCGTTCTGTCCTGTCTAGACTCACCCCCACTGCCCAACCCCTGGCCCAACCCCAGCTCCCCCAGACCCAGGCGACTTCCTCCTAGGGTGACTCAGGGCCTGTGGTTAACAGTTCTGTTGTGAGCCTGGAAAGGCTTCCTCAAAGCTAGCCGGTACCCACTCGCTGCAGTGGGCTGCTGCAAACGGCTCAGGCCTGGCTGCAGCTGCTTCCTGTGCAGGCAGGGTGGGCAGGGCTGCGGCAAGAGTGTAGCCTTTGGAGGGGTGGCGCCCGGCCCGGTGGTTAGCACACAGCCCCCGATCCAGACTGCTGCGTGCAAATCCTGGCTTCCCCGCTTCCTAGCTGTGCAGCTTTGGGCAACTTACTTAACCTCTCTGAGCCCTGTTTTCCTCATCTAAAAAACCAGGGATGAGAATAATAATGCCTCTCTGATTGGGTTTTCTCGAGGATAAGGGAGTTAAGATCCACAAAGCACGCAGGTCAGTGCCTTGTGGGGCAGGCGAGTGCTCTGCTACTAGTTGTGCGTCAGACACGGCACCTGCTGCCGGCACACTGGGGTCAAGCTGTCCGATGCCAGGACTCTGGTCCTGGGAGAAGCTCACAGGTTGTCCTGCCCGGATCCTGCCCATGCAAGAGCCGAGAGAGGCTAATAACCCCTTGGCTGTCCTTGCTCCCAGTCTTTAGGGCAGGCGTCCTCAAACTACAGCCCGCGGGCCTCATGTGGGTGTTTTGCCCGTCTGTTTTCTTACTTCAAAATAAGATATGTGCAGTGTGCACAGGAATTTGTTCATAGTTTTTTTAAGCTGTAGTCTGGCCCTCCAACGGTCTGAGCGTCAGTGAACTGGCCCCCTGTTTAAAAAGCCTGAGGACCCCTGCTTTAGGGCCCTCGAGCTCTGAGACCGTGCAAACGTCTTGGAAGGACGTACGCAGAGGCACCCCGGGCCCTTACCGCAGCTCTGCCACCGACTGGCTGTGTGGGCTTGGACAAGCCTCTCTCTGTACCTCAGTTTCCCCTTTATAAAGTCAGGGGTAAGGGGATGTGGATGGGCTCAGAGCTCTCAAACTCTGATGCCTCCAAGGCTCCAGACGGGTCCTGCGAGTGACTGCCTGGGGGCAGAGGGGCGGGCAGTGACCCGGTGCTGTGCAGGCTGCCTGGCCCGGAGGCTGCTCCGCAAACCTGGGCTGTGTGGCTCTTGAGCTGCTGCCGGCTCGCGCCTTCTGAGGGCCTCACCTGTAAGTGGTCACGTGATAACCAGCCCCTGCCCACAGAGCCGGAGAGCGTGCGGCCCCGAGTGATCAGGGAAGACTTCTCGTAGGTGGTGCCATTGGCCGGAGGTGCAGTTTGGCTGTGGGCAGTATGGAGGGAGAAGAGAGACAGATGAGTACAGAGGTGTGTTTGCGGCTTGTGCAGGGATACTACAGAGACCAACCTGGAGGTTGGGGACAGGAGGGTGAGAAGGGCTTGGAGTGACAAGCTAAGAATTTGGCCCTTCCCTATAGCACACCATTGATATCTTGGGCTGGATAATTCTTTGTCACGGGGACTGACCTGTGCACTGTGGACGTTTAGCAGCGTCCCTGGCCTCTGCCCACTGGATGCCAGTAGCACCCCCCGCGCCCTGCGAGTGGTGCTACCCAAAGCGCCTCTAGCTGGGGGCACGTTGCTCCCGGAGAGCCACTCCTATCATGGGAGTCACGGGCCACCACGGGGCGTTGTAGACCGGGAGAAGGTGTGAGAAGAGCAGGACAGCCTGGAAGCCGAACGCCCGGCCCAGGCAGCTGTCTCTGGGCTCGGTCCTCAGTTGATGCCTAGGGGTGGGGATTGTCTTCCTGCCCCCTCGGCGAGGGTCCTCTCTCCTTCCCAGAAAGGGCAGTGTCTGGGGGCTTTCCTGTCGCCCATCGGTCGGGTAGCAGGTGTGCCGGCAGGACCTCGAACATCTGGATGGAAAAAGAGAAGCTGTGGTCCAGATGTGCCAATAGCCCATGCTGGTTGTCATCTGGAGCCAGCCATGGGTGACGACTGTGTACATCGGGAGCTATTTGTGGACTTGGCCCCCCTGGGGAGGGTTAAATCGGGGCTCTTGCTGTCCTGAGACAGCATCACGCTTTATCAAATCACACTCCACCTTGGGGGCGTTATTTTGGGAGGACCCTTTCGTGCCCAGTTGGGGGAGCTGGGTCCTCAGCTTCTGGCTGGGGTGGGGGCTTCCTCTCTGTTTCGCTGGGTTTGTCTAGCGGACTCTCTGGTCACTCAAACCTGCGTGCACATAAGGACGCCAGAGAACTTTCTTCACTTTCTTGGGTCCTGGCTTGTCAACCTACAGTCAATGGCAGGCGGTGGGGACCCCCAGAAGACACTTTCTCCCAGAAATATCTCCCTCCTTGACCTCTACTCCCCAAGCTGCCTGGAATTCCACCACGAGAAACACATCCGGCAAAACCAGGCGGGGAGGAACGGGGGTGACACGCATAGCGGGTGTCTTCTGGGCTACAGGGCTGCAGAAGCTCTAGTCCCCCTACTTGTCTGCATTTTCCATGTTTGGCAGAATGAGCATGTCCTGAGCACAGTGTTAGGTTACAGGAAAATTGTGAACGTGGTTTAGAGACTCCTGTGTACCCGGTGCCTGGTCCCCTGTTGTCAGCACCTTGCGCTGGGATGGCACCTTTGCCACAGCCAGTGACTGAGCATGACACGCCGCCATTCACCAGCTTCGTCCGTGTGTCCTCAGCCGTCTCCTGCTCCCCCTTTTCTGCTCCAGGAAGCCGCCCGAGCTTCCTCAGGTTGCTTCCTCAGGTTGCTCTCCGCTGGGACAGTTTCTGAGATTTCCTTGGTTGCAGTGACCTTGACAGTTTTGAGGAGTGCTAGTCAGGCATTCTGTCGAATACCCCTCAGCTGGGACTGTGGGTGGCTTTCTCGTGATTAGACGGGGCTAACGTGCTTTTGGGAGGAAGACCGCAGAGGGGAAGGGCCACTCTCAGCACACCGGATCAGGGGACTGTACTGGCCACGTGACTTGTCACTGCTGCCAGGGACCTTGAGCACAGCTGGGGTGTCTGCCTTGGAAGGTTGCTGTCCCCGTCCCCACCGCCCCGCACTCTTTGGAAGGAAGCCACCATGCGAGGCCCAAAAGCGAGTGGGCAGCTGCTCCACCTCCGCGAGGACAGAGTAGTGACATAAACTGTTTGGAGCGCCTCACAGGTTTGTCTGTTCTCCCCATTTGTTATATAAATACGCGTTTATTTATTTCTATCAGCAGGGACTCAGGGGGCTTTATTGTGTGCTTTGGGCCACAGTCGCTGCTGCTTCACTTTGCTGCTCACGTGCACTGGGGGGAGTGAAGCAGCTCTGTTATTGAAAGAAGGGGTCTCTGTTGCCCTCACCTGAATGCAGACAAGCTCTCAGCTGCGACTTCAGTGCCTGGCCCCAGGCCAGGGCGAGGTCCAGGGGCTCCCGTCTGCCAAGGAGCAACGTGACAGTGACGAGGGATAACCCGGCTGGCTGTTATGGAGGCACAGAGGAGTGGCCTCACCCCTGCCTTGGGGCGGAGGTTGGGAGGCAGGAAAGGCTTCTTGGAGGAGGCCGAGTCCCAGGGTGAGCAGGACTCTGCCCGGGCACGTTGGGAGATCGGGCTGGGTGGCGGGAGCAGCATGAGGGGAGGCTTGGAGGTGGGGCGGACCCCGTGGGGCTTTGGAGATGCTAGGGGCTGGGGGCGCTGGGTGAGAGGGACAGCCATGGGGTGTGAACGGGCAGGAGGGCGGAGGGGTCCCCGGGTGTGAGACTGGCCCAAGTCCCTGCTTCTTTCAGGCTACGTAGCTAAAAGGATGGATCCCTGCTTGGCCCATCCACTCGCTCTGCAGATGAGGAAACAGGGGTCCAGCAGGGCCCCTGACTTGCTCCAGGCCTCCACTGCCCACACTCAGGGGCGGGGAAGGAGCCAGGGAGCGGACAGATGAGTTCCTCACCCGGCCCACGGCTGGGGATGTCTGTCCGGGAGGACTTCACTTCACCCAGCCTTTCACAACCCATTTCTTGTACATGGTCCAGCTCATGGGAAGCTTCCTTCTCCAGGAAGCCCTCCTGATTTGTCCTCTTCGGAACTCCTGGGGCTCCTTTCTCTGTTGCACTTTGGGGGCAGTGATTTGTGATTGAGAAGAACACAGGCCCATCTCCATGACCCGCTGGCAATGTGACCTCAAGCTGGCATGTGCCTTTGCTGTCTGGGCCTCAGTTTTCTCATCTGTTCAATGGAGCCAGTGGTCCGTGTAGAGGTGTTGAGCTTATGTGGCCCTGGGAGTGTTGGGGGCTGGCCTTCGAGTGCTGGGGTGGGATGAGGCAGCAGAACACAGGGCCCCCTCCCCTCTGGAAGGCTCATCTGTTAGGGCCTAAAAATAGTTCCCAACTGCCAGGGGGGAAAACCCCTGTTCGAATCTGTTAGAACTTGTCACCTTCATGCCTGATGCCCCCGGGGCTGGACACAGAGCCCCTGTTCGCTGCCACCGCAGCAGCCTGTGCCCTTCCTGGAGGGGTGGGGAGGCCAGCGGGGATAGGGTGGGAGTCGTGGCCCCGCTCAGGGTCTTGGCTGGGGCCCGTCAGAACTGAGTTGTTCTCTTCCTCTCTGGGGTGCGAGCCCCACCCTCTGGCTTGTAAACGGTGGGGGGCTGGGGCTTCTCCACCACCGCCTGACCCTGAGCCCCCAGGAAGTGAGGCTTTTATTTTGAGCCTGGAGCAGCAGCCTGGAACCAGGACTTCGAGCCGAGCTCGCTGCAACGCCTGCACTGGTCTCCCAGGGGACCCCAGCCTGCCTGCGGAGGGGGGCGCAGAACCCCGGTGAGACAGGAGGTGGGGCCCAGAGCTGCACAGCCTCGCCCTGCTCAGAGGCTGCCCAGGGCAAGGCGCCCCTCCTCCAGCCTCAGTTTCCTCCCCGGTCAAGTGGGGGACAAAAAACCCCATTTGTGAGCACCTGACAAGGGGCAGCTGCCACTAGGACTTCCATTTTACAGAAGAGGAAACTGAGGCTCAGGGAGGCTCAGCGACTTTGCAATGGTGGACAGAGGACAAGCGCCTGAGGCGGGGGAGCAGGGCTTCCTGGCAGTGATGGGGGGGTCAACTGTAAAGCCCTGAGTCTTGTTCTTGGAAACACAGCCCACGTGGAAAGACTCGATTTCAGTCTCAGCTGCAAAATGGGGGAAGAGCGGGGTGACAACAGAGCCTGTCTCAGCCCAAGACGAGGTTGACAGGAGATTGTGCACAGGCGGCCCTTGGTATCCACAGGGTCTGTGTCCTCGGATCACCGGGGAAATGCGTGGACGCAGGACCCGCAGGTGCGGAGGTCTGACTGTACCTAAGTGTTCAGAGGAGGACCTGGCGCCTGATTAATGCACAGTAATAATTAGTAATACAATTTATTGTTGTGGGTTTTTGCTCTGAAGATAAGCAGGGAAGTGATGGCTTGGGGAATGGCTGGGGCGTGCAGGGTGCTTCCCGGATATTCAGGAAGTGGAGCGTGTCGGGGCCCTGGTGGAGGTGGGAGGCCAGCTCTGAGCCCCCAGACGGCGGCCCATGAAGGCACAGTTGATGGGACACTCTCCGGCCGGGACGTCTCTGCTGTCTGGAGTCACTGGGCAGGAATGTCACCCTCAGCGCCCTGTTCCTTCAGGCAGAGCCCTGCTTCCCTGTCTTCTCTCCTGGGGGCAGGCCTGGAAGGGCAGCGGCTGGGCCTTGCTGGGGAGTGGGTGAGGAGGGGTGGGGGTAGGAGGTGGGGGGAGCTCTGAGGAGGCCCCGGGCTGGAGCCAGCTGCTGGTGCCCCAGTCCTCACACTTCCTGTGCTGCGGCGACGTCTCACCAAGCGATCTGAACCCCCTGTGCTTCCCGGGCCAGGGCAGGAGCTGTCCCTTCCCTGGAGTGCTCTCCCAGCTCCTCCGCCCCCAAGTCCCCACCCCTGTTCTCCCGGCCAACTGCTGCCTTGACTGGAGCCTACTGCGCGCTGGGCACGCGGGTGGCCCCACCCCGAGGCTCCCGGAGAGGAGCATCCTGCAGTTTCCCGAGTGTGTCTCGCCCGCGCTGGCCTTTGCTCATGCCGTTTGCTCCGCCTGTGGCACCCTTCCCGCCGCCCTGCGGCTGAAAGCGTTGAGACCCACTCCTCTGAGAAGCCTGCCTTGAGCCACCGTTGGACCCTGAGCTCCTGGAGCTTCCCGGAGCCCTGCGTGCTGGGTCCCTGTGTGTCCTGTCCCCCGTCCTGGACGTCCATCCAGGGCTTGGCTGGACCTGATTCATCTTTGCGATCCCGCCTGGCATCCAGTAGGTGCCAGCATCTCTATTTCACCTTGTTTTTGTGGACCTTTTATTGATTGGTGAATGACGGACCTATAGACGCGTGTGGGTGTCACGAGCAAACATCTCGATGGACTCGTGCCAAGTGAACACAGCCGTGCAGCCTCCACCAGACCCAGGAATCAGGCAGGACCAGCACCCAGAGGCCCTGGACCCTCCCTGTCGCTCCCTCCCCCACGGACTTCCCCCACGCGTGTGGGTCCTTGGGTACGCGTAGCTCTAGAACCACACAGAGGCGAATTCTGTAGCATGTGTTCTGTGGCGTGCGGCATCTCTCCCAACAGCAGGCTTGTGAGCTGTGCGCGTGTGGCTGTGGGCAGTGAGCTCAGTTTTTCCATTGCTGTAGAGCTCATCATCGTCGTACGACCCCGCCCCGTGTATTCGCCCGTTTTCCTGTGGGAGGGCGACTGGGCTGTTTCCACCTGGGGGCCATTACAGACAGAGCGGCCGCGGCCCTGGGCCCCTCGTCTGGGGTCCACGCAAGCGCCTCTGCGGCTCAGTCTTTCTCAGCCGCCAGCTCCGGCGGTGGACGTACGTTCCCTCGTTTAGTTCTCACAACCACGCTGCCGGGTGGTGGGTTCTTCTCTCCTGTAGAAGAGGAAACCAAGGCACAGAGAAGTAAAGTGGCCAGGCCAGGGTCACGCAGGGCTGGCTGTCTGCACTGGGCTCTCCCCAGGTCTGTGAGCACCAGAGCCCAGTGGAGGGGGGGAACAGCTCATCATGCAGAGCTGCAGAGGTGGGGGAGGGGATGGGGCACAGAGAGAAGAGAGAGGAGCCAGGCTCTGGGAGGTGGAGGTGGGGGGGCGCGGGGGCCTGGGTGTGTGGCCCTGGGGTGGGGGCACCCGGTGGTATCTGGGCTGGCTGGAGAGGTGGCTGGGGAGATAGTGCTCTGGGAGGCCTGGCCCCCGCCAGCGCCCCTGATAAGCTGTGGCTGGAAGCACGGGGTGGGGGAGGGGAGCTTCCTCTGGCACTGACGCATCTGAGTCCCTCTGCCATCCTCCTTGCAGACCACCCGGGGACCCCAGGGAAAACAGGGGGGCCGGTGAGGTTGAGGGGCTGAGCTTCAGGGATGGGGGTGGTAACAACAATAACAGTGGCCTGCTGGCTGTTTGTTAGGGGAAGCGACTTACGACTTATGGGACGGACAGGGAGGTGTCCATGCACCGTGTGGCGGAGAGTGGGGTGCTCACTGCCGGCTGCGTCCTTCCTGTGACTTTCACCCCGAAACTCGTGGAGCGTGGGTCTCTCCCTGCCTGCTTCTGGGATGGGGTCTGAGCCTCCAGGAGGGGGACAGAGTGGGGCCACTCCCCTGCAGAGGGATCTGGCCTCAAACCCCCAGAATCGGGGGATCTGGTGTCACCATCCTTTCAGGACGCCCCCACCGTCATCTCCCCCATCTGTCATCACCGTCAGCAGCGGCATCTCCACTGCAGGACCCTGGCAGTCAACCCCCGCCTCCCGGCGTGCCCGCTGGCGCCGCCTCCCTCGCCAGCACCCCTGCCGTGTCCGCTGTCGTCACCACCCCGTGGGCCTCACTGTCACCACCCGGCCAACTCCAGCAACGTCACGACAGCCACGCCCACTCAGCGTGGTCCCTGTTGCAGTCCCTCCTGAGCAGCGCCTCCTCCATGACAGTCCGCCTTGGCACCCTCGCCGCGGTGATCGCCGGCCGTATCAACATTGCCCCCACTGCCCCACCTTCCCCCACCTCCCCGTCCTACGACCCCGGCCCCTTCTCTTAGCTCAAGCTGGGGGTTGCTCCTCAGAGACACCAGGAAAGGAAAGGGAGGCAGGTCCAGCGGTCGCCCCTTCCTCAGACGAGGAGCCGAGGCCCAGAGAGGCTAGTGGCTTGCTCAGGGGCACAGAGCTCGGTGGGGCCCCGAATCAGACCACGGCTCCCCCAGCCCTAACTTCACGGCCTCAGCAGTGCAGCACTAAGAACGGGGCTGGGTGGGGGGAAGACGCTGCACGGAGGGACAGGTGAGCGAGCGGGTCTGCCTGTCCGGGCATCGTGGCAGGAGACAAGCCCTGTGCCTGTCGTGGCCGGCCGGGCTCTCAGAGCGCAGGGAGAGGACAGCGCTGTGTCCAGGCGGAAACCAGGGGCCCGAGGGGAAGGTCAGGGCTGGGGGCCTGGAAATCTAGACTCTCGGAGTTGCCGGGCCTCTCCCAGCGGACGCTGTAGGTCAGCCAGGTGATTCCCGGGAATTTCCAGCGGCTCTCAGTTAGGACTTGGGTGGGGCAGTGAGGCCTTCTGGGGGTAGGGGCAGGCCCTGGGGCGGCTGGGCCAGGAGACCCTGGGAAGCCTGGGTGTGACATCCTAATCCTATAGTGTGTAGCGGTTCCGCTCCCCTGACCCTCCAGCGTTCAGCCCTCCCCATGGCCCCGAGTGCAAATGGGGGTAACTCTCCTCATTGACCAGAGGGGGAAACTGAGGCCAGGGAGAAGCCAGGACCTGGCCAGGGCCACGCAGCAGTGAGGCCTCCGGTGCCCCAGCTGTTGTCTCCTGAGTGCTGGGCGTCTGGGGTGTGGCTGCTGGGGGCGGGGGGTGGATGGCTGGAGAGGTCAGGAGCCGAGTCCCTGGGCAGCCAGCCTAGCCCTGAGGGGAGCCCGGGCCCTGGGAGCAGAGGCAGCAGGGCTCACTGCCCAGCTGAGACACATGACACAGGACATGTGAGCTCTCCTCTTTCAGCCTCTGTCTCCTCAACTGTAAAATGGGGGGATGTTGCAGGGTTTGGGGACATTGCCATGCAAGCTTGTGTACAGGTCTGAGCACACAGCAGGTACCCGATAAATATGGGTTCCTCTCCATCCCGTGTCCTAGGGAGCCACTTGGGTTCTGGGAGCTGAGCCTATTCCCTTTCTCCTGGGTCAGGGCCCGGCATCTTCTGGTACCTTCTGTGGAAGCTTGGGGCCCCAACAGGGTCCAGTCAGGCTCTGAGGTTGCCTCACTCCATGACCTTGGGCTGGTCCCTGCCTTCTATGAGCCTCAGGGCTGTCGTCTGGCAAATGGGGACAAAGCAATGTCTCCTCTCCCTGCCAAAGGGTTGTTGAGAAGGAGAGATGGGGCAGGGTGAGCCTGGTTTTTAAGTGCAGGTGGTTTTTGCAAAAGTAGCAACACTCTGGTGCCTGTTGCTGCTCGGTGCTCCTGCTGGGGGAGGGGAGAGGAAATGGGGTGCCTCTGACCCCTCTGAGGGAGGCACCCACGTGGGTGTGGGAGAGGGGACAGGCCTCAGACAGGTCCAGGAGGCCGGGAGATGCTGGGCAGGTGGTGGAGGGACTTGGCTAGGTTTTGAATCCTGGACCTACAGATGACCAGCTGGGAGGCCATGGGCAAGGCACAGGACCTCTCTGAGCCTCACTTTCTTCATCTGGGAAATGGGGTGAAGGTATTAAAAATAGCCCTTTTGCCAGGTTGTGGGGAGGATCACCTGGCAAGGAGTTGGGCTGTGCCAGTGCCCCTGTCTTCCCCTTCCTGGGGTCCCCAGCTGTTTGGAAGGGGTGGCTGGAGGGGATGCTAATGGCAGGATTGTGCATGGGGCAGGGCAGTGAGAAATGCATAGGCCCAGAATCAGGGAGCTGGGGCTGGTGAGTCGTGGGTTAGCAGGGGTCTGCAAAGTGGGGTAATGTCCAAGGTGACCTCAGGATGACAATGTTAGAATTTCTAAATTTTTCGATTTTATCCTTTGCTAATTTCTGGACCTTTTTTGGGGAGTATGTTTTATGATGTTCGTGATAAACTAGGACACTAGCACATGCATAAAATCTAAATAAAGAAATATAGTGGAGTGTGTTCAAAGGGTTTTAGTGACATTGGTGCATGGTCAAAATATTTGAGCCCTCTGGGGTTCAGGCTGGTGGGGCTCTGAGGTATTTTGGAGCACAGGGAATGGGAAGGCACCAGGACAGCACTGGGAGACTTGGACTCTGGTTTCCATCTGTCCCCAACTTGCTGTGTGTTCTTGGGCAAGCCAACTAACATCTCTGAGCTTATAAAATAAGCAGAGGGAATTTACAAAACAAGTAGATGGAGGCCCCTTCTAGCAACTGGGAGTTTGGATTGCCTGGATCTGAGCTTTGTTCCAAATCTCATATCATCCTGGATTCTTGGGATTTTAAAAGCCTTCTCGTGCCATACCTGGTAGATGTTCACGTGCCCTTTCTAAGCCCAGCTGTGACTCATTGAGATCTGCCACAAAACCCCAGGGATGGAGAACTCACCACCTCACAGGACAGCCAGTTCTGTCTTGGACTGAGCTGTCATCTACCTCCGCTTTCTCTTTCCCTCTTTTGAGGCGGAGCCCTAAAGAGAGGAGCTGCGGCTCTGGCCTTCAGGGCTGAGGAAGCAGCTCTCCTGGGGCAGGGGTTTCCTGTGGCTGCAGGCAGCCCCACCGCACCTGCCTCCCCCCACCGCACCTGCCTCCCCCCACCGCACCTGCCTCCCCCCACCGCACCTGCCTCCCCGGGCTGCTCTCAGCCTTCCCGGTGAGACCGAGCCTTTTGGGTTCACTCTGCGCTAGGGAGAGGGCAGCTAGAGCAGCCTGCTCCAATGCTCCGTGGAAGCCCTCCCCAGACATAAGCGGATTCTGTTTGCTAAGCGCCCCCTGCCAGCCCCGAGCTCGGAGCTTTGCAAATACCGTGCAACTTAGTCCTCACTAAATTGAGTGGCTGCCACATGAAAACTCAGAGAGGTGCACTGACTTGTGCAAGGTCACCTCAAATCCATCTCCATCTGACTCCAGGGCCTAGCTCCGCACCAGTCTTCCGACTGTCTCCACCCCTAAACGTGATGTAACCTGGCGGGAGGGCAAGTTGAGACTTGTGTCTGAACTTAAAAAACCCACAGAGTCAGCAAGCGGGAAACAGATGGTGGGAGTCTGGTTGCCTGTCAGCTGAGCATGAGTTATCAGTGCAGGGCTGCCTAGAAAGCCAGTGTAAGCTTAGGCCATATTAATAGAGGTAGGGCACCCACTACAAGGGAGGGGACAGTCTTGTTCTCAGTGTGGACAGACGGTACCTGGGGAAGTGTGTGTTGGGGGAGGGGTGGAGGGCCTGCAGCAAGGACATGGACACGCAGGAGGCTGTGAGGTCCCATGGCTGGAGGCATTTAAGTAGAGGCTGTGGCACAGGATTCCCGCACTGGATGGTGGGAGAGCATGGACAAGGTGACCCCAAGTTCCTTTCGAACTGCAGTTTGGTGGCTGGACTTTAATTGTTGCTGGGGCCACCTCGACACTTAGGCCTGTCACATGCTCCTTCTCCATCATAATTAGCAAAGGTCCCCTGAAGGTGCCGGGTTCATTCATTCATTCATTCATTCATTCATTCATTCATTCATTCATTCAACAAATAGAAGAACTAGAGCAGTTGAACAAGAGAGACACAGGCTTTCCCTGCCTGGAGCCTGCAGTCCGGTGGGGCCAGTGGCGATAATAATATTAACAGCTTGCACAGACAGAGCGCTTACTATCTGCCAGGTACTTTAAGTAAATCACACCATCTGGCCCCACCACAGCCCTAGGAGGCAGATATCGTTATCCCCATTTTGAAGACGGGGAAATCGAGGGGCTGGGGGACGGGGTGGACAGGGAACTCCGGAATTCAGGGGTCAGATGCTCTCCTGGGCTCTCCCAGCCTGTGCTGACAGTTCTAAGAACCCGAAGCTCTGCGATGCCCAGAGCCCGTCGTTATAACTGGGGGTGCAGAGGAGGTGCCTCGGCTCTCACTCTTCCATAGCCTGACTGTCCACAGGAGCAGGTGCCACTCACTGAGAGCCGGGCGTGGCTCTGCGTGCTCTCCTGGGACAGTCCCGTTACCCCGCACAGTGGCCTCCAAGCGGAGCTACTAGTACCATCCCCATTTTGCAGACGGGGAAACCAAAGCACAGAGGAGTCAGTGTTGTGCCCAAGGTCCCTCGACTGCAGGAGGAGTACCCAGGCTTATGTGCCTGAGCTGGCTGTCCGTAAAGGCCACTCTCCTGCCCGGCGCACAGCCTCCTGCCCCGGCACCCCCACTGCTCTAGGACCCCCACCCCATGGCCCCCGGCTGCACACCATGGGTGGGAGGGGGCTGGGAACTGGGGGTGGAGCTTTGCAGGCCTGGTGACTGACACTCTGTTCTGTCCCCAGATCATGAGCGTCCTGTTGTTCATCGAGCACTCGGTGGAGGTGGCCCACGGCAAGACCTCTTGCAAGTTCTCCAAGATGGGCTACCTCAAGATGGGTAGGTCCAGGGGACGCCAATGGGGTTGTGGGGGGAGGAGGGGGAGGAGGGGGAGGGCCCTGGCCAGGGGTAGCTGGGCTGGGGTTTGCATCTGCCGCTTCCCTGCTGGTCGACCTCTGGCAAGTCTCTTCCTTGGAGCCTCAGATGTTTCATCTGCAAGTGGGAACATCCCACCTGGCCCTGCCCACGTCTCCAGGTGGTGAGAGCAGACGGTAGCGCTTTGCAGACTCAACTGGCTTGTAAAGGTGACAGTCCAGTGTTCTGCTTAAGCCTGTCACCCTGGAGTCAAATGAAAACCCCTCACCATGAGATCCAGCCACTGCTGACCTCTGTCCGCATCTCCCTGCTGTGTGGACTTCCCATCACACACCTTGCTTTGGCCACACTGCCCCACCACGCCCGTGCCTGTCCTGGGCCCTGCCTGGAACACCCTCCCCCACCGCTGGTGGCTGACTCCTCGGGGACGCCTTCCCTGGCCTCACCTGGCTACAGTAGAGCCCGATGGCGCCCTGTTAAGTCATCCGTGTTACCTGAAATGTGCGGTCCACTGTCTCTGTGTCCCCTCTAGACTGAGGGCTGCACGAGGGCAGGGCCTGGCTTGCTTGTCCATGCTCGTGTCCCCACCGCCGTGGTTCCCAAAGTGTGGTCCTGGGAGCCCGGCTGGGGGTCCCCGGGCACCTCTGGGCCCCTCACGGCTCCCCTTGCCTTTCAGCCGACCTGGTCTCCAGCTTCCTGCTCATCATCATGCTCTTCGTCATCAGCCTGAGCCTGCTGCTCGGCGTGGTCAAGGTGGGGCCGGGTCACCCTCCCTGCCACCCCCGCGGGTGGGCGGCGCGGGGAGGGAGGGAGCCCCATCTGCACGCAGACGCCTTCACGCTTACCTTGGGGAGAGAGAGCCTCGTTTCCCCCGGACTCCCTGGGCAGGCAGCCTCAGTTCCCTGTTAAAATGTGGCCATCACGGGGCCATGTGTGGGGGCGCTGATGGCTGGCACGTTGGCGAGGGCTGGCTGATGACCCGCAGCGTTTCAAACTGCAGAGGGAGGCAGGGAACCGTGGTAGGGAGAAGAGGAAGTGTTGTTTCAGGTGTGGGAGAGGGGAGAAGGCACGGGGTCTTGATCAGCAAGGAGGCCCCAGCCAGTCAGAGCGCAGGCACACCCAGCGCTGAGGGACCCCAGCGCCGAGGGACCCCAGTGCCGAGGGACACCGCCTGGGCAGCTCCTGTCTGGCCGGGGAAGGCAGACCCTCGGCGAGACAGAGACAGTCCAGTGCGACCACTGAGGGGCTCCTAGGCCTGAGGCCAAGCCGGGCGGGGGGGGGCGGTGTCGAGACAGGCTGTGGCCCAACCTCCTGCGCAAGGAAGCTGCCTGCCCTGGCCCCGAGAGCAGGAAGCCAGGGCCTCCCCACGAGCCCTGAGCAGGCCCCAGAAAGAGGGTCCTTCCTGTGCGGACAGCGTCCTGGCACTTACAGGGCCAGCAGGGTGGGACAGTGACTTGGTGCGGGTTTGGAATGTCCCCGCCCGCCTGAAGTGCCGCCCTCCACTCCCCTGGCTGGCACGCACGCCCTCGGAGCCCGCTGCAGTTTTCGTGTGCAGGCGCGTGTAGAAGCCCAGATGCTCCAGCGGGGAACCCGGAGCAGGTTCCCCGGACTCTGAGTCAGTCTGGGTGCTCCTCCCGGGTGACTTCAGACCACCACATGAGCCACCAAACCACAGCCTCTGTGCTTCTGCCCGATGGTGGGTGTGTGTGCGTGTGTCCTGGTCGCCACGGTCACCTGCTCTCCAGTGAAGGAGAGGGACTTCGGCCTCGGCCCCTAGAGCCTCTCACCATGACTTAGCCCGGCGAGCGGCAGCCGGGGGAAGGTCCCACTGTGCACGCAGGGCAGGCTCTGTCCCGCCGCCCGCCTCTGCTCACTCCTGATCACCTCCCCGGGTCTCGCCTGGTGTCCCCGCTCCAGGAAGCCCTCCCTGGTCCCCTGTGGCGTGGACACAAAGCCCTTCCTTGTTGGGTTCTTGGGAGCGAGTTGGGTCAGGTCCTGCTCTGGGAGCCCCTCTAGGTGGGGACGGTTCCCCTCCGACTCCTGCGACACCAAGGCTTTCTCACGCGGGGCCTGGGTCTTACCCTCTCCCTGTCCCCAGAGGGTCACTCAGAGGGGGCGTGGGGCTCCGCGTGGGGCGGCCTCCGCTAGGCCAGGAGCGGGTGGAAGGGGATGCATGGGGACACCGGCGGGGCGGGGCGGCGGGGCGGCGGGGTGCGAGGATGCCCTGGCAGTGCTGGGCCTGCCTTCCAGAACCGGGAGAAGTACCTGCTGCCCTTCCTGTCGCTGCAAATCATGGACTTCCTGCTGTGCCTGCTCACCCTGCTGGGCTCCTACATCGAGCTGCCCGCCTACCTCAAGCTGGCCTCCCGCAGCCGCCCTGTGAGTGCCGCCCTGTCCCTCCCTGGCCGGGGAGGCGGGAGGGGGCCAGACCCGGGCCTGCGCTCAGGCTGGTGGGGTGGGAGCCCCCTTCCTAGCTGCTGTCCCTGAGCAAGTCCTGGAGCTCCTCCACGTCGCCCAAGTGTTTCCTCTGTGACATGCATCTGCAGTCCTGTCTCGTCGGCACGTCTTAGGAGGATTAAGGGAGGAAAATGTATACAGAGCTCAGCGCCCAGCGGATGCCAGCCCCGCGGCATTGACACACGGAGAGGGCACGTTTCCTTTCAGTCCCCAGCCCCAGTCTGCTCCCGCCTTGGAGCCAAGTGGAAGAAAGGAAGAGAAAGATGGTTCCCGCCAGCGACAAGCACCCCATGGCTGAGGCTGCTGCCAATCAAGGATGCCGTCCCCCAAAAGTTGCTTTTCACATGTCCCCTGACTACTGTCCTTGAAGAGACCGAGGTGCCGTGCTGTGGAAGCGCCTTGGCCCCGGAGTCAGGAGACCCTGGTTCTAGTCCCAGCCCGGCCACCAGCCCTGGCTGGTGACACCCAGCACCTGCCCTCTCTGTGCACAGGGACCACAGAGGCACTGAGGTCTCTAGCCGAGAGGGACCTGCTGCGTGCCCCATGGGAACTGGGCCTTTCATTGCTGGTCTTTACCCTTCCTCCTCTCCTTTTCCTCCGAAGGGCCCCTCCAAGGTCCCACTGATGACCCTGCAGCTGGTGGACTTCTGCCTGAGCATCCTGACCCTCTGCAGCTCCTACATGGAAGTGCCCACCTATCTCAACTTCAAGGCCATGAACCACATGGTGAGTCCGGGGCCGGGGCCCACACCCCGGCATGGCCGTGGGCTGGGGGTGGGTGCACCAGCCTGGGCAGGGGGTCTGGAAGGCGGCAGTGGCCACGTCTGCTGCCCTTGGTTTGCCCACGTATCAGATGCGGCTGATGGTAGCACCTGCTTCCTAAGGCTGTCGTGGCCGCTGACCAAGGTCGCTGGTGTGCATGCTGAGCTCCCACGCGTGTGCGGAGTGGGCTTGCTATTCCTGGGCACGAGGTGCTGTTAGAGCCCCTTACGGCCAGCGGTGCTGACGTGGCCCCCTCCGTTGCAGAACTACCTCCCCAGCCAAGACAACGTGACGCATAGCCAGTTTGTCAAGATGATGATCATCTTTTCCATCGCCTTCATCACCGTCCTCATCCTGAAGGTGAGAGGCCCCCGCCCAGGGGCGGCGGAGGCCGTGCCGTGGCCTAGACCCACCCACCCCAGCCAGTTGGAAAGCAGGGATGTGTGTCCTTCGCCGCCCTGCCCTGCCGTTAGCGCCTTCCTCCAGCCTGCCCGGCCGGCTCCTCCACTTGACTCAGAACCCTCGGGACAGCCCGGCGGAGGGCGTGGGCCTTCGAGACCACCCTCGTCCCGGTGTCAGGGCCTGACGAGGGAGGCTGCTCTCTGCAGTCAGCTTCAGACTGACCTGGGTTTGGGTCCCAGCCACACGCTCGCCAGCCGTGTGGCTGATCTTCAGCAGGTCGCTTCTCTGCGGGCCTCGGGTCTCACCTGTGAAAGGGGGGTGATGAGTCTTGCTTTACCCACGTTACGGTGTCATGTGATTCAGGCAGCAAAATGTAGGTGGGATCTGCGGTCATATTAATGGAGGTTTGGTAATGAGAAGGAGGGAGGGGAGTGGCCTTCGTCTCTGGGGCGGTCAGGCCCAGAGGATAGGGTCCATCATCCGGTCCCAGGCCTGAGAGACGGTGGCACACTGGAGTGTGTTTGTGGTGGCACAGCCATCGGAGTGAACTTCCTGCCATTGTAGCAAGTCAGGGACACTGGCCGCCGCTGGGAGCTGCCCTGTGGAGCGAGCTGTGGCTCCTGCTGGCACCTGTCCCAGGCCCGGTGGGGCGGTGGGAAGGGGTCGGCAGGCACAGCCTGACCGGGGCCTCTCTCCAGGTCTACATGTTCAAGTGCGTGTGGAGATGCTACAGGTTCATAAAGCACATGAACTCGGTCGAGGACAAGAGCGACTCCAAGATGCTGGACAAGGTGAGCTTGACCTAGGCTCGGATCCCAGCTCTGCCCCTCACTCCCTGTGCCATGTGGGTCAAGTCCGCTCCCTCTCCGGGCCTCAGTTTCTCCACTTGTAAGATGAGGGCTGGAACAGAAGAACGGTGATCTCCCTTTCGGCTCTGATAGTCTAGATTCCATTCGTTCACTCGGTATTGACTGCCGCTCACTCACTGTTAATCTCATAGCCAGTCCTGGGGATATGAGGTTAGGGGAGTGTACAGTCCAGACAGAACCCAGACACAGACACACGGTTGTGATGCACAGGGACAGTGAGCACAGAGGAAGTACCTGGCCTCATCTGGGGGCCCAGGGAGGGCTTCCTGGAGGAGGTGACACTTGGCTTAATCTTGGAGAGTCAATGGATCTGAGATAGCTGGGAAGGGGGAGGAGGCTCTCTCTCCAGGCAGAGAGGGTGCACTTAGGAGCAACTGATCGGAGAAGTGATGGGAACAGTGCAACTTGTTTAAATTATTGGTGGTTCACTTTCTTCATCTGTAAAGTGGGACTGTATCAAGCAGGACAGTTTTGGTTGCCAGTGGCAGAAACCCAACTCAATCTGACTTAAATAACAAAAGGAATTTATTAACTCACAGAGCTTCAATGTCTGATGTAGGTCTGTCTCAGGTCTGGTTGAGTCCTGGCATCAGGATGTGATCTCATTCTGTTATCTCTTCACTCTGCTTTCCTCTGTGCCAGCTCTGTTTTCAGACAGCCCTTTCCTCCTGATGGCAAAAGGGCTGCCAAACCCCATGGACTGACATCACACCTTCTCAGTAACCCCAGCAGGAAAAGAAAGTCCCAGGATTATGTCTCATTGGACCAACTTGGGTCACATGCTTATTATCCCTAAACCAATGAGTATAGCCAGGGGGATGGAATTCTACTTTGGGTGGCCAAGCCCCATGACCTGTCTACCCCCTGGATCTGAGGGATGGGACCAGTTTTTCTGAAGGCACATGAACTGAGCACGTTTTCCCAAGGAGAATGGTGCACTGTTGTCAAAGCAAGGGGACCTTGAGGTGCTGAATGGGCAAAGGCAAGCATGTGCCCTACAGGAACAGATCCTGCACCTGTCTCAGGCAGGCGATGTCTAGCACGCAGCAAGTACCGAGACATGCTAGTCATTACCATCATCATCATTTCGCCAGACGTAGGGGTTTCGGTCCCTGGACCCCAGGTTGGAATCGCAGGTCTTCTTGCCGACACTCAGGCCTCATCTCTGTCTCTCTCAGGTGGTCCTGCCGTCCTACGAGGAAGCTCTCTCTCTGCCATCCAAGGCGCCAGAGGGGGGCCCACCGCCGCCCCCATACTCAGAGGTGTGACCTCGCCAGGCCCCAGCCCTGGTGCTGGGAGGGGCGGAGCTGCTTCGTAATCCGCTTCTTTGCTTCGGTGGCCTCTGTGGCCTGGGCGGACCCCTGGCTGACTTCAGGACAATCTGCTGTGTCTCCCTTGCTGGCCGGCTCCCCTGCAGGGCCCGTGAGGTGCTCGCAACTGGGCCAGCCCTCTGGGGCTGAACCACTTCTCGGGGCTCTCAAAACTCAGTCCACAAATGCTTGGACTACTTCGATCAGCTCCAACACTCGTTTAGATGATTGGTCATTCTAAATTTGGTGAGTTTCTTAAACAACTATCAACTCGATCAATTCCACCAAGAAACTGACAAGCCAAAAACTCACTTGTCAGTTCAGTAAAGTAATTTGGTCCATTGCACTGGTTTGTAACAGCTCACACAGCGATTTCGTTATCATCAAAGAGCCAGCTCCTAAATATACATACACACACACACACACACACACACACACACACACACACACACACACACACATTTATAATCAATCTCTTCAAATAGCTTGCTTAAGCAATTATCAATTCGCCAACCATAAGTCATTTAGAATAGTAACACATAGAATAGTGATACAATTCAATTAAACAATCAAGTTAGCTCCCAAATAATTTAATTCAAATTAACCCCACAACTGGCTGCCCACTCTGGTCAATTTGGCTCCTCTGTGTGGCTGTGTAATTATTAACGCAAACGAACATTCAGTTAAACGGTTGTCGAACTGTCATTCAACAATCAGCTGCAGGAAGTGACAGGAGTTTCTGTCACAGAACAGTCCCTTCACACACACGACCGTCTGGCTGCGGATTGCCACCGCCCGCAGTCAAGTGCTTGCCGATCCAGTCCCTCTGTGGTCACATAGCCGTGGGCGCTGTGAGGTCACCTCCGTCCCCGTCACCTTACTAACCAGTTGTCAGTCCATGCCGCAGGCCAGGCCACCGATTGCCGTCAAGTCAGTCATAGGGGAGTCAGCTCTGCACAGAGCTTGTGACCAAGCAGAAGTTCACCCCTGCAGTCAGGCACGCCCGTCTGCTGGACTAAACCCAGAGGTCACAAAACAGGCAACAGGCAACCCCCTGTGGGCGCAGACCCCGCGACGGGCCGTGGTGGTGGTGGCGGTCACAAGGGTTTGGCCCCAGCAGCCCCTACTGCCTGCTTCCCTGTGGCCGGGCTCCCGAGGGAGCTGACCCAGAAGCGGGGACAGGGCTGTGGAGGCCGGCGTCTGGGGTCCGTGGGGGGCACAGAGGGAGAGGCTGTGCAGGAGACTCTGCACTGACACCCCTTTGTGCATTGCTTTGTGTTTCAATAAAGCAGCAACAAGCTTCTCTCTGGCGGTTGTGTTTCCTGAGATGCGGCGTGGGAGGAGGGCCAGGGCCCGGCCTCTGCACCCACCGCCCCCAGCACGCAGGCTTGCACACACACACCTGCTGGTTCTGTCCAGAAGCTCCCGTGGGCCGGGCCCAGCTCGTGAGTGTGACTCAGATCGTGAGTCACAGTCCATGATTAAGTGCCCTGATGCCTCGTAAGTCAGGTGTGAGCTACACCCACTCGGAGAGTCCCCACTGACAGCCGGGTCCTGCCCTGGGCACTAGGGATGACCTCATGGGTCCCACATGCCTCCAGTTACTTGCAGTCCTGGGGAGGGGACAGATCCATAAACAGTTATAATGGCCCATGGCCAACATCACAATGGGGAAAGTCCAGGGACCTCAGACTGGGCCTGGGGCCAGAGAAGGCTTCTTGAGGGAGGTGTCACCAAGCTGAGTCTGAAGTAGGAGGCAGCAGTGAGCAAAGTGGTGGGAAGGAGGTTCTAGGCCTAAGGGGCAGGATGTGCAAGGGCTCCAGGGCGGTCGGGGAGGAGCTGCGAGAAGTGGCTCCCCGTGGCTGCAGGTGGTGGGTGGGGCAGAGGAAGCTGGTCAGATGTGCTCACCCTGGCTAACCTCAGTGAGCAAGGCCATTTGTGGAAGGAGATGGCTGCAAGTAACAGAAACCTTAGTGAACCAAGTTTATCATAAAATAAAAGGTGGTCGTGATATTTCTTGGCTCTCATATAAATAAAAAATCTAGGGATTTTTGGCTTCAGGTATGGCTGGATCCAGGACTCAAATTCTTTAATAACTCTCTTTCTCTTTCTCCATGGCTTACTTTCCCCCCCCTGGGGTTGCTGAGCCGCTGACGCTTGCCTGAGTAAAGTCAATGGAGCGAGCCGGGGCAGTTTGGGTTGGGATCTGCCACCAATTCCAAAAAAGACCTCGTAGAGCCTTGAAGGCCATGCCAATGAGCGTGGACTAATCCTGGGACAGGTGTCTTTGGAGAGTTTGGGGAAAGGGAGTTACAGGGTCAGGTCTGGGTTTTAGGAGGGGAGAGACCAAATCCAGAGACCTGTAAGAAGGCTGGTGAAGTCGTCACCAGGGAAGCAGGGAGAGAGATGGGTTTGAGCGGTGCTGCCGGCTTTTCTTGGGGATGGCAGATTTCTCCTCGGATTTTATCTGCTCTTTGTTAGACCCCCAAGCAATTGATAAAGGGTGACTCTAAAAGAAAGGGAAAGCGAGCTCCCATTCACAGGAGGGAATTGTGGCCCAGAGACATCAAGTTAGTTTCCTGAGGCCACACAGCAGAGGTTAGACCAAACACCGTTGTTTCCCTACTCCAAGTGGAGGCTGTTGAGAGGGGCTGGGGCCCCAGTCCACGGGAGCTGTTGCTCCCCACGAAGACCCATGAGAAGAGGCCCCCTGAGAAGTCCCACCGAGTGTGGACTGGGGACCGAGGTCATGGGAGTGGGGGGATCGGCCTTGTCCCCAGCCTTGCATCCTACCAAGAGGGGACCAAAGGAGCATGGCTGTGTGTCCTAAGGGCCAGAAGACCCTGAACTTGCTGATGCGACTACCCTGCCCGTCCCCCTTGCCCCGCCCCCGCCCGGGCGGAGGAACGCGCGGGGATGTATGGGGGGATTGTGCCCGCGGCCAGGCAGCTGGGAGGGCCCGCCTGAAGAACAGGAAATAGCTGGGTTTGGGGACGTCCGAGTGGCCGGCCAAGCCAAGCGAGCCCTCATCGCCCGGCCAGCCCTCGCCGAGGCCATATCAATGCCCCGTTTGAGGCTCATACAGGGGCCCTTTGACAGGCGGGGGCAGTCTGGACGCGCTGAGAAGGACTGTTTGAGCTCCGTGCCCGGAAAGGCGCCGCCCCAGGGAGGAGGCCTGCTCCAGGCCGGGCGGGTGAGGGCGGCCGACTGTCTCTGGGGGGAAAGGGGAGTCGGTGAAATTAAACCCGGTTGCCCAGCGGGGAAAACTCAGGTTTCTCGGGGGCTGCGATGGCAGTGTAGGGTCCCCGTAACTGAGAGGGCCCTTCAGAATGAGGGCTCCGTGACTCTCCCAACAGCCTCACGCGGCAGGTGCGGCCACCGTCACTCCTGAGGTTGAGGGAGGGGAGGCGTCTGCCCAGAGTCATGCCTCGGTCAAGCGCGGAGCTGGGCTTGGGCTCCTGTCAGCCTGGCTGGACCCCAGCCTGTCCCTCTGGTCCTTTCTGGTCCTTTCCTGTCCTCTGGTCCTTTCATTCTTCCTCTGAGGACCCTCCAGCTCACAAGGTCCTTATTTCACTCCCGTTCCAGGCTCCAGGCCCTCAGGAAGGCCCTGGCGTATGGGGAGGCCTCAGGGGCAGCAGGAAGCTTCGGGTGTTGCAGCTGCTGGAGCTGGTCTCAGAGCGGGAGGATCTTGGACCAGAGGGGACCTCGGGGTCTGCTGGTCCCACCCCTTCTAGGCACGGCCTCCCGCCTGGGCTCGCACCCCCACTGCTGGGGAGCTCCTTCCTGTCACGCCCAGCCCCTCCCTCCACTCTGGGGTCGTTGCATCAACTAGCAAGTACATCCCGCTACCATCTTTCAAAACAGGGTCTTGCTTTTTGGTCTTAACTCCTGGCTTTGAGGTCTCCAAAGGGCACATGTACTCCTTGTCCCCACGGTGGCCTCTCAAGGATGTGAAAGTGGCCATCCCAAGCCCCCAGCCTGCTCCTGGACAGAGCATCTCGCCGTGGTACCCATACCCACCCCGCACTCCCCGAGTACACACGTGCACGCGCACACACACACACACGCACACACACGCACACACATGCACACACATATGCACACATATGCATGCACATATGCGCACACATGCACACGCATGCACACACGCACACACACGCACACACATGCACACATATGCACACACATGCACACACATATGCACACACACACATGCACACACATATGCACACACACAAAGTTCTTTGGCTTTTAGTTATGTAACATGGATTTTGGATCCCTGACAGGATCTTCATTCATCCACTTGTTCCAGAACATTCCCAGAGGCCTACTCTGTGCCTGGTCCTGGAGCCGGGCAGGCGGGGACCACGGAGACGAGCCAGGCTCTGCCTGTCCTTGCGCTCGCGGCTATGGCGGGGGAGACGGGGCAAGGGCAACGCGGAATGATCAGTGCTGAGACGGGGGATCTAGTGGGGACAGCTGCCTCCAGGCTGCTAGGTCAGGGCAGACTTCCTGGAGGAGGTGATTCCTGAGCTGAAGTATGAGTTTGCAGGTGAAGGGGAGGGGAGGGGATTCCAGGTGGGAGGGTGTCCTCTGCAGAGGTGGAAGGCTGGGAGAGCTGGGGGTGGAATACGGTGGGGCAGTGGGGGCTAGGGAGGCTGCCTGGAGCTGGACTATTGGGGTTTGAATCCAAGTTCCGCTAATTAGAGGCCACATGATCTGAACCTCAGTTTCCTCATCTATAAAATGGGCTAAACAAAATCCTCCATGTCATAAGATTGTTGAGAAGCAAATGAGTTAAGCATCTGTAATGCTAAGAACATTGAGTGTGTTCAGCCAGGAGTGTGTTTGGCTATAAGAAACAGAAAACTCAACCTTGGTGGCTTAGGCAATTAGGGGTATGGTATATTTTTCATATAACAAGAAATACAGATATAAGCAGTTGCTGGCATTATTTCAGCAGCTAAAAAGTTAGGGCTGAAGTCTCTTAATTTCTCTTCAGCTTTCCCTCTTGCTCATAAGACAGCTGCTGCTACTCCTGCCAACACGTCAGTCTTCAAGGCCTTCCTAGAAACAGTCAGAAATTGCCTTATATCTCATTGGTCAGGACTAGTCACATGGTACCCCTAGGTATAAGGGAGCCTTGGAAAAGTGAGTATTTTGCAAGGGAATTTGAACAACCCACCCAATAATGCCTTCCGCAAACCAGCATGTGGCGAAGGCAGCTGGTATCCGGCCCATGGGGCTGGGGCTGGGGGTGCATTTGGGGAGGAGGGAAGAGGCGAGCCTGAGAGTAGATCCCCTGGGGTCTCAGTGGCCCTGCTGGGGAGTTTGGACGTGGCCCTGGCAGCTGTGGGGGACTGAGGACCTGAGCTGGGGGATGGCATGGATTTGGAACCCGGGTGAGCTCCTCGAAGACAGGGCGTGAGAACTAATCGCCACTGTGTCCCCGGCGCGGAGGACAGACCCACCCAACACTTGCACGTGGGTAGTGAGCAGGCGACTGCTCACGGGCGCCCCAGGGCGGCCCTGGGGTGGAGGACTGGGGTGCACTGGGGTGCAGGGGCCCGCAGAGAGGGCCGATGGCAGAAGTGGCCCCGGTGACACATGGCAGGGGCTTGAACTCGGGCGGTGGCTTCGGGCTGGGGAGATTCACTCGCACCTGGGAAGCGGGACCCGTGGGGCGTGGACACAGAAGTGAGAAGAGGAGGCCCAGGCTGGTGCCCGGGTGTGGACGGCGTTTGGGAGGGCGGTGCCAGCTCTGAGCCGAGGACACAGGACGAGGAGGAGACAGGATGAGTGGGTGCTGGATTCACGCGACCTTGGGGGCCGTGTACGGGGGTGCTCGGGGGGCAGCTGTGTCTCTGGGTCAGGCGTTCAGGACAGCGAGGATGGGGGGAGGCGGACGTGAGTGTCTCCTGTGGACATGTGGGGGGGACGTCAGGGGCGTCACTCAGGTTCACGGAGGTGTTGGCCCATCAGTGGGACGGATGCTGAGCTGTGGCTCCCAGGTGGGCCCTCAGATGGGCGCGTGCTCCCGCCCGCCCGTCCAGCCAGGGCTGCCAGCTTGCCTCGCCACTCGTGGGCCAGCGACCAACAGGGCACGTGCGAGGAGTCAGGAGCCACACGTGACACCCCAGACCACAGAGGCTGTGGCCCAGATGGGGTGTGGACAGGACGAGGGACTCAGCTACCCGCAGCCCCTGGAGGTGGGGTGCGAATGCCCGGCGTGCAGGCGGGAGACCCGGCCCTGCTGTGGGCGAGCCGCCTCCTCGGAGCCCGACTCCGGGGGACCAGCGAGTCGTGTCCAGCCAGGCTCCCTGGCGATGTCTCTAATTGCCATGATATTAAGTGTCAAGAAAAGCAGCCCCTGGGCTAAAGAAGGCCAGAGAGGGCCCGCCCCGCCCTGGGCCGGCCTGGTCTCTGGGCGGCAGCGAGCCTCTGCCGTGGGGTCTCTGCGGCCGCCCTGCCCGCTGCCCGCCCACCGGCTCTCCGGGAACCGGTGCTCGCGGCCCCGACTCTCTCCTGGGCCTCCTGGAGGAAGCTCCCAAGTTGGCCACCGAGAACATTCTGACAGGCAGGGCCACGGCAGAGCGCCGCCAGCACCAGGGAGCCGCAGTTCTAAATAAATAGAGCCCACCTGGGAGACAGGTGCGCTGCCGCCTCAGTGTCCAGAGGGGCGAACAGGACACTCACTCGCGCTTCCTCTGCCCTGCGTGCTGGGGGACATTCCATGCAGGGAACAGCTGGGTGAAGGCTGGAGACGCGCTGGCATTCGGGGCACCTGCAGTCTGGGAGCGCCACGGTCTCTCCTCTGTAACTCACGACCCGAAGACCACAGACACATCCGGCCATGACCTTGGCGGGGCCCGGTTGCTGAGCTCGTGTACGTTGGGGGGTGTGTGTGGGTGGCTGGATTCCTGTCGGAAGGTTTATGGGGAAAGCTGAGGTCACCTACAGCCCTCAGGTGGGACGGGGGCAAGAACAAGGGACGCGGTGGGAAAGCCACTGTGCGCCTGCTCAGCTCCTCTACTGCAGGACGGCGCAGGCATCCCGGGGGGATGTGAGCGGGAAGGATTCAAACGGTGCTGGGGCCGGACATCCTCATGAAGGCCGCAGGTGGGGCCTGCGCGGCCATGTCACCTGCAGGGCCAGGCCCCGCTCGCAGGCTGCCAAGGCCACAGGTGCCCCCCCAACCGCAGCGCTGTAAGGGGGGGCAGCCGCCAGCACGAGGCTGTCTTGGGGCTGTCTCGCTGGTATTTTCATGAGCACTGGGCCTTCCCGTAGCGACCACACTGAACCGACTTTCCCCTCGCTCCTTCTATACCCTAATGTACCCCCGGGGTAGGCAGCATTGCAAGACGGCCCCAGTGACCTATCTATGACTCTGCGAAATCCTGTCCCCTGGGGTGTGGGTGGAGCCTATGAATCCAAAGCACCCCTGTGATGAGATTGTATGATGAGGCACAGCTGGCCTTAAGCAAGGGAGCTGCTCCCAGGTGAGCCTGATTGAATCAGGTGACCCCTTAAAAGCACCTGTGGTCGCCTTGCGAGGAGACAGTTGAAGCAGGAGAAGGCGGGAGGGCCGCCCAGAGGGGACTTGCAGGAGCCCCCGGGTAACGACCAGCCAGAGAACAGGGGGCCGGGGGCTTGGTCCTACAGCCACAAGGAGCTGAACCCTGCCAACACCACGTGAGCTTGAAAGAGGATCCCGAGCTCCAGAAAGACGCTCAGCCCAGCTCAGCTTTGGGAGACACCGAGCAGAGGACCCAGTTCGATTGTGCCTGGACTTCTGGCCTACAGAGACCACGAGGCAGTGCATTTGTGCTGTTTTAAGCCACTAAGTTTGGGGTAATTTGCTACACAGCAATAGAAAATGGATATGCCACCCCTTCCCAGTTTGGAAGTTTTGTTTTTCTCTCCTTAAACTTCTAGGTGGCAGCAGCCACAATCCTGAACGTCTGAAGTCTTGGTCAGTGTAGAGCATGAGTTTGGAACCTGAAGGGTGGAACAGGAGAGCTAGCCACTGTTTGCACGTCTCCGCGTGCTCTTAGGTCTCCGGAGGCTCTGATCTGAGGTTGCAGAGAAAACAGCAGGGGTTTCAGGCAGCCTGAATAGAGGCTAGGTATGTTGGAAAATGGGGGAGAAAATACATTCTATCCTGCTAGCTGGAGGGTTACATTAAATTCAGGGCTCGAATGTTTAAGAGGGAAAGAGACGACTTGAAACGCCACTGGGAGCAGGTACCAGGGTGGTATGGGCCTGAATTATACACTGTTGTAAAGGCTGGTCGTAGGAAATGAGGGTGTTTTCATAAGGGGTGACTGACTCAGTGGGGGCAGGCCCATGCCTTCAGGTCATGAACATGGTATACCAGAGGACAGACTCGCTCTCAGAGCCGGGTGGAATACTTTGCGAGGGAGCAAGCTCCCAGTCCAACAGACGCTCTGCCATAGGCTGGACAGCAGCTTTGCAGAGACAGAATTCACGCTTCGTATGGAAGGCTGCGTGAAGGTCGGCGGTTTGGTCACACCTCCAGGTGTAGAACTACCTGGACAGCTTAGAAATGTAGGTTCACTGGGTCTGGAATGGAGCCTGGGAGTCTGTATTTTTCTTTTGGAAAATCTTATCCAAACTTTGTCAACAGTTTGAGGGTAACAGAGGGAGTATAAACAGAATAACTTGCAAACGCATCTAGACGAGGATTCTGCTCAGAGTCCCCAGATCCAAGCAGATCAGCGTCCTGCACAAGCACCTCCTACCGTCCCTCACCTGCTTACCTGTCAGGCCCTGTTGGCCCCTCACCCCATGTCCTCATTTTGGACTCCCGCAGGTGAGCAAGCCTTGTCTTTGCTGTGTTAGTGTCCCCCAAAGCAGTCCTGAGACGAGGACTCGGGTGCAGGTAGTTTATTCGGGATGATCCCGGGAAGCACAGTGAGAGGGGAAGGAGGCAGGGAAGGGACAAAAGCCAATAAAAAGAGCTTTAATAAGCAGGTCACCTCTGTAGGCAACGGGGCCTCTCTCCTGCTGGGGGCCTTCTGAGGAGCCCCGAGGAGCACGTCTGAGGGTTGTCCTGTGGCGTGGGGACGCTGTTGGTTGGGGGTCCAGTGTCCGTGGGAACCATCTGCTGAGCTGCTGTGGGCTGAAGGGCACTGAGGCGGGTGGCTGTAGCTGCCAGTGCTAAACCTGAGGCCACTTCTAGACGTGCTTGTTCCTTTCCCAGTGACTGACCCCGTGGAAGGCTCTCGCAGCTGCAGCCCCCCCGTCTCTGATAATGTGCTTGCTCGAAGGGTGGGGTCTGCCTTAGAGGCTCTCGGGGTCTGAAGACTGCGCAGGAAGAGACTCGTTCTGTGGCAGAGAAGAGAGGGAGAGGGAGGGAGACAGTGTCCTGGGAAAGGCGGAAGCAGACAGACCATAAGGGCCTCGGGTGCCCGGCTGGGTCTCAGCTTTGATCTAGAGGCGATATAAGGTTGACGGAGGTTTTTTGCCTGGGAAGGGTGACAGGGACTGCTGCTGCTCACTAAATACTCACATCCACCCCTGGGCGCCCAGGTGGAGTCAGGTGATGTGACTCCTTGCCTGAGGCAGGTAAGGGGACACCTGCTGTCTCTCTCTTGTCCCTGTGGCTGGAGACAAAGGACTTGGCAATGGCGGGAGAGCGAGACAGGGAGCTGTGGGGCTGGGGGGCCCCCCGCCTGGCGCTGGCCTGTGTCACGGGAGAGACCAGCCCTGTGTGAAGCCATGTGACTGGGGGCTCGTCTGTCCCTGCAACGAGGCTCATCCCTTCCTGGATAACCCAGGAAGGCGTCGTGAAAGCAACAAGCCTCAGGCAGCACCCACTGCGTGTCCTCACAGCCATCCTGGACATCCGCATCGAGGGTCCATCTTTGCGGACATGAAACAGACGGGCAGAAAAGGGGGCACTGACCGGAAGTCACCGCCGCTGGCCCGTGACAACAGGACAGGGACTCACACCCAGCTCTGTCTGATTCTAAAGCCGTTTCACCTCACAGGATCCCTCAAAGTCAGGCATGCGTGTCCCCGGCAGAACGCAAGACAATTTGGGGGGATATGTGGCTGAAAAAGTTAAATTTAATTAGTTTTGAATTTATTTGAATTCGTCTGAATTTTTTTAGAATTTTCTATTGAATGAATATTTATTGGAATAGACACATAAACGGCACACCAAACCAGCGACTTCATGGCTATGATTTCTTAGGAGGAGGAGAGATTTGAAAAGAGCGAGCTGGCTTAGAGTTGCTTACAGAGAAAGGTGAAATAAGTAGCATAAAAGGTACGGGAGGATGGCGAGCCAAGGGGCAGGGGCGGGCTGTCCTGGGTGACGTTGCCTCTCTCCTCAGAGGGGTGCGGGATAACCGGGTTTGCTCCTTAGGGAAAGAACCGAGCCTGGGAGCACTGGAATGGGAGTCCTGTGCGCTTCCCACTGAACCAAACTGCCCCAGGGCCTCTCAGCTGATCACAAACGCTCTCTCTTTCGTGAAACACTAAAGGCTTTAAGTTTCTGGAAGCCCAGGGGTGTGCAAACCAGCAGAGGGAGGACCGCCTGCCTGACTTCAAGAAGGCCCCTCCACGCATTTTTTTCTCTGGACAATTCCGGACACTCTGTTCCGGATTTTGAGTCCTGGGGAAAAATGTTTCACGTTTGAAAAACACAACTATTTATTTTCTTTCCTCGATGTATAAACTGAGCTTGCAGGCCCCTCGCCACCCCGCACCCCTGCCAGCCCCCGGCCCTGCTGTGGATGTGAAAGCTGCTCTTCTCTTGGGGGACTGCTCTGTTCCTGAAAACGTACCTGCAGCACGTCTCCGTGGCCCTGCTAACGAGCGGAGCCCCACACAGAAGGCGCCTGTGCTCGCCCAGGGGTCCACAGAACGCCTTTCAGAGACGGAGCTGAAAGGCCCATTTCATGGGACCAGCTGCTGCCCGGGTAACGGGGCCCTGTCCCCGAGCCCCGGACGCGGCCTGCCCGCCCAGATGGGGGCAGCTGGCCGGGGGGCTCCGGCTCACGTCCTCCTCGTTCACCTTCCTCGGGGCACACTGTGCCCTTGTCACCTCTGGTCACCACTGCTAACTGTGCGTGACCCGTGGCGGTTTACAGGGAAATGGAACCAGTTCGTTCCTGCTTTTCGTGCATTCCTTCATTTGCTCCCCAGACACCTGTGCGCACCCTTGTCACCACTCTGCAGCGTCTCCGCGGGAGAGAACTAGACTCAGAGTCGGAGAGGGGAAATGACCCAGCGGCCTCACTGCTGTCGGAATGGGGAGGGCTGTGCCTTAGGCACAGGTGAGACTTCAGGGGAAAAGCCAGAGGGAAACGCTGCGAACCTCCGTCTGCGCTAACACTGGCACAAGGGGAGCGAGGCCTGAGTCTCCAGGCCTGGCTCTGCCCCTAAACTGACTGGGTAGCTTCAGGCGAGTCAGGGAGCCTCTCTGGGCCTCAGTTTCTCCATCTGACAAATGGGCGAATGCACTCCAGCCTGCTGACCTCGCAGGTTTGATGGGAGAACAAAGGAGATACAGTGATAGAGTGAGTGACTTTGCCAAGCCACGTGTGGAAGGGACTGTTGTTATGGTTATTGCCGAAGTCTGTGACAACCGTGGGTTGGGTCTGCTGTTCCCCAGAATCACTTTTTCAAAACTGTCCATATATTTCCTTTTATTGCGGTATAATTTTCATGGAACGAAGTATGAAGTGCACAGGTCCTGAGTATTCCGATTCTGCCCCCTGGAGTGACGGTGACTTTTTGCCCCTATCTCTACTTCTGTCCTCTTATTGCCCCTCATGTGGCCTCCAGGAGGCAGGCAGGCCGAGAGCTACCATTCCCACTGCACAGAGGCAAGCTGAGGCTCAGAGAGGTTAAGCCATCAGCTCCGGGTCACACAGCAAGCAGCGTGCCTGAGAGCACAGGCCTGGGGCCCTATCCTGGTAATAACACCTCTTAGCTGTGTGACTTTAGACAAGTTACTTCGGCTCTCTGTTCTTTGGTTCCTCATCTGGGAAATGAGGCTACTAATAGTAGCTGCCTCACAGGCTGTCCTAAGGGTCAACTGAGACACTTCACATAACTCCTCTGCTGCCCACAGCCAGCCGAGGAGGTAGGCACTGTTATCAGCCCTAGTTTCCGCACGAGGTATCGGCGGCACAGAGAGGTGAAGTCACTTGTCCATGGTCACCCAGGCAGTTGCCGTGTAGCAAACCCAGGGAACCTGGCTCCCAAGTCTGCGCTGGTAACGACTTTCTCTACCGCCTTGTGCATACTAAGAGTGAGTGCATGTTTTAGCCACAATTATGATCTTGAAAGATCCTGCCGGGCAGAGAGTTGGCGAGAGGAAGGGCATGCTGGGCAGACAGCCCAGCACGTGCAAAGGCCCAGGGCCCTCTGGGGAGAATCCAGGGGCAGCTGGAGAGCAGGGTGTCCGAGCAGAGGCAGGGACGGCGGTGAGGCTGGAGAAGGGGAAGCGGTTAAGGAAACTGCGGCTGGAATTGCAGGTGGGGGAGGGAGTTGGGTGAGGCTTGGAGGGGCAGGGTGGAGCTGGGGCATGAGGCCATTGGACACAGGTAGCCCTGGCCTGGGGTAGAGCTTCGAGTCAGTGTGGGCTCCAGCCCCTGGAGGAGCCACCTCCACCCACCTGAGATTTCCCGAATTCCAGCTGTGGCTCCGGTTGCTTCTGCGGGCAAAGGAGGCCTTGTGGTCGGAGGGGCCTCCGGAGCCCAGGCCAGGCACTCCCCTCTCTCGGCACACACACCTCCATTCAGCCCTGGCCCCGCCCCCCCACGTCAGTGGGGGCCGCCTGGCCAGGAGGCTGGGCGGGCATCGGGGTTGATAAGACCTGGACCCCCGGCCCCACAACTGTGCCTGCTGCTGCCTGCGCTGCCAGAGCCATGCGGGTCCCCTCTGGCACTAGCCTCGTGCTCGGCAGCCTGCTGCTGCTGCTGCTCCAGGCCCCGCGAAGTCTCGGCCTCACCCCACAGTCCAGAGGTGAGGGGGCCTGCGCCAGCTGGGGGGACACTGGGCGGTGGGTCCTGACCATCAGCCTGCGGGCTGGGCACTGAGTTGGGGCCGAGATGGGACCCGGGATGGGGAGCGGCGGGGAGGCAGGGGTGGCCAGTGGGGTGCAGGAGCACACAGAGGTGGTGATGCTGATGGGGGTTGGGGCAGGGGGACTCAGTCCTTGGGACACACATGCTGCAGGGACCACGGTCTTCCAGGTCTCTGGGGGGCAGAAGCCACTCAGAGCCGGCTGACGTCTGGAGCTGCTCCAGGCCCAGCGCTGAGCTCTGGGCGCTTTGGTGAGTGCAGCTCTGGGGGGCTAAGAACCCACCCCTCCTTGCCAGTCCTGCCAGCAAGGGGCCCCCGGTGGGCAAGACCACCCCTAGAGCTTGGGCACTAGAATGCCCACTCCTCCTGTAGAGATGGGGAAACTGAGGCCAGAGAGGTGAGGGCCTGTCTAAGATCACACAGTGAGACAGTCCCTGAGCCTTCGGCTCCTGATCTGACACTCCATGGGGTGGCCAATCCCCTCTCCCTCTCTGGACCTCAGTTTATCCATTTGTAGCCTCAGCTAGTAAGGACCAGAAAGCCAGCTGCAAGGTGGTTTCTAAGATCTCTTGAGGAACTCTGATGCCCAGAGTCCGAGTCTAGGGCACCGTGCGTGGCGTTGGGACAGCCCTGTGCATTTTCCCTTTCCCGAATCTTCTGCATCCACATTTGGGATCAGCTCTGCTAGGTTCAGACTCACGTGGGACAGTGAGGGAAGAGCCTTTGTACCGAGCCCTGCCTGGCTGCAGATCCAGTGACAGTGGCATGCAGTGGCCTTGTCCTCCCCACTGAATAGATGAGAAAACTGAGGCTCAGAAAGGTGCAATGACCTGCCCAGAGCCCAGGGTGGCTGAGATGGGATTCGAACCCAGGCCAGTGTCACTCCAACTCCGTGCACTTTCCAGCACATGGTGCTGCCTCTCTGGGTGCCTGGAGGGACATTGCTCCTTGGGGGTGTGTCTTGGGGCCCACCTGGTTAGGTTGCCAAGGTGGTCACCAGGAATTCATGCTCCTTTTCCCTGTCCTCGGCAACTAGCCAGCAGGCCCCGCTAGGTGGAGGGAAACTGGTTCCACTTTGGTGACTTGCTCCGATGCTCAGATGCAAGAGGCCATGTTGATGGGCACTGCTTTGGCTCAAGACTGTGCCCATGCCTGAGGGGCCACTGTCAGTGTCCTCCTGCCCAGCTAGGGGACATGACTGCCCTTGTTTCTGGCAGCAAGCCTGGGCTGCAACCCAAGAAGTATGTTTTCAAGGGCATGGTGTCCTTTGCCGTCCCAACCCCCCTCTGTGTGTGCCCAGCCCTGTGCGGGCTGCCTTGCTCCTCCCCGAAGCATCCTCTAGGGAAGGACTCTCGCTCATTGCACACATGAGGAAACCGAGGCACAGAGAGGTGACTGTGGGGTGCCCAAGGCCAGGATGTGGCTCACTGCCTTCCCCGCCGGCTGTGCTGGGGGCCTTTGGCAAGGAGCTTGCTGAGTGTGCACGCACTGGCAAAAAGGCCGGGCCAGCCCAGCCCAGGTCTGTGGTCTGCTCCGCCTGCGGCCTCACGTGCAGATCTCGGTGGCCTTGGTCTGCGCTCCTTTGCCTGCGAGTGTGTCGGGGCAGCCTCCTGACCTTGGCCCTGCTCTCTGGCTTCTCCCTCCTGCCCCTCCCAGGGCACCTGTGCCGGACGCGGCCCACGGACCTGGTGTTTGTTGTGGACAGCTCCCGCAGCGTGCGGCCTGTAGAATTTGAGAAGGTGAAGGTGTTCCTATCCCAGGTCATCGAGTCGCTGGACGTGGGGCCCAACGCCACCCGGGTGGGCGTGGTCAACTACGCCAGCGCTGTCAAGCAGGAGTTCCCGCTGCGGGCCTACGGCTCCAAGGCCGCGCTGCTGCAGGCCGTGCGCCGCATCCAGCCGCTGTCCACCGGCACCATGACGGGGCTGGCCATCCAGTTCGCCATCACCAAGGCCCTCAGCGATGCCGAGGGCGGTCGCGCCACGTCCCCCCACATCAGCAAGGTGTGTGCACCGCGCCCGTGGGGAGTCTGGAAGCGGGGTTGCAGGGGAACAGCGGGGACCAAAGGGGACCGTGGGCCTCAGGGAATGTGGCAGCACGTGGCAGTGGACAGTCATGCTAGGTTTTCAGTGCCAGGCGCCCAGGCCTCCGGGGGGAAAAGGTCATGCAAGACCACCCCCCAGGGAGTCCAGGGTAATGATGCTGAAAATAACAGTCGCCCCTTCCTGGCTTCTCACCGAGAGTCGTTCCACGCCCGCTCCACCTCGCCACAGCCCTTACAGACAGGACACTGCGGCTCGGCAAGGTGACTGTAACGTGTGCAGCTGCACTTACCACCCAGGCCCGTCCGTCTTCACGGGGGCACGGGGGCTAAGGACAGGGACCCAGGTCGGAGGCAGAGAGGCATCGGGCTGGGCGCCTAGCCCAGACTGGGCGCAGCCGGGAGGACCCGACGCTGGCCTCAGGGCAGGTGCAGGCAGTGGGTGGTGAGGCCGGGGCTCAGCGCCAGGGCCCCTCTTTCTGGGGTACAGCCCGGGGGAGCCACGTGGGCGGGGAGCGGGCACGTTGTTTCCCTCCCCGGCAGGGGCATGGGCCATCCTGGACAGTGGAGGAAGAGAAGGGTGGCTCTGCCTCGGCTGGTCGCTTGGGCCACGCGGGAGGGGCCTCCGTCCAGGGCGCTGAGGACGGGTGCCAACCTGAGGCAGGGCCCCGTTTGTGAGCCTCGGCCGCCCCCCGGTGGCGAAGGCGCGGCCCTGCAGGGCGCGGGCCGGAGAGCGAGCGGGGGCGCGCAGCCCGCGCACCTGCCTGAGCGGGCCGGAGGGCGGCACCTCAGCCCCGTCCCGAGACGGGCCCGGTGGCCGGCCAGTCCCCTGCCTCTCCGCGCCTCAGCCTCCGCTCCCGCCGTCCCGCGGGCCTCCCGGAGCGCGCAGGCGGGAGGCCTCAGGCGTGTCGCGTCGCGTCGCAGGTGGTCATCGTGGTGACGGACGGGAGGCCCCAGGACAGCGTGCGCGACGTGTCTGCGCGGGCCCGGGACCGCGGCGTCGAGCTGTTCGCCATCGGCGTGGGCCGCGTGGACAAGGCCACGCTGCGGCAGATCGCCAGCGAGCCGCAGGACGAGCACGTGGACTACGTGGAGAGCTACAGCGTCATCGAGCGGCTGTCCCGGAAGTTCCAGGAGGCCCTCTGCGGTGCGCGGACGCCGGAGCCCGCCGGGCCGGGGCGCCTCAGGGGCCGGGGCGCCTCAGGGGCCGGGGCGCCTCAGGGGCCGGGGCGCCTCAGGGGCCGGGGCGCCTCAGGGGCCGGGGCGCCTCAGGGGGCGGGGCGCCGGCCTATACGGGGGCGGGGTGCCTGGGGGGGCGGGGCGGCGGCCTATACGGGGTGGGGTCGCCTCAGAGGGCGGGGCGCCGGCCTATACGGGGCGGGGCCTAAGCTAGAGCCAAGGTCCGGGGTGGGGCCCGCGCGGGCAGGGCCCACGTGGGTTGGGGTGGGACCCGGATCAGACTGAGGTGGGCCAGCACCAGGGGCGGGGCCGTAGCTAGGGCGGAGCCTGATTCGCAGGAGGGTCCCCAGGCCCGGGTTAAGGGAGCTGGGAGAGGTGACGCCCTCTTATGGGGCGGAGTCCTAGCAGAGACCGAGGAAGGGCCAGAACCCAGTGAGGGGCGCGCGGACAAAACCTATATGTGTATCTATGTCGGGGGCTTTGGGTGACAAAGTTTTCTGTGATGCAGGAGGGTCTGAGGGGTCTGGGCACTGCCAGGAGAGGGTTCATGGTCCTATGCAGATGGGAGGTGGGCCTGTGAGGGGGGTCTTTGGCATGTGACTAGCCAGAAGGGGTGGGGTCTTGAATAGGGCAGGAGCCAGGCCAGGGCAAGGACGTTCCCCCTTTGTCAAATGGGTCCAAGCAGACTGTACCTTACTGTGAGGCCTCAGCGAGACATTCAGTACATGGTATTTGACAGATACTTACTGAGCGTCTTCCATGTGCTATATTCATTGCTGTTCTAGGCACTCTGGGGTACAGCAGTGAACAAAGCCTTTGCCTTTTTAGTCGGACTTCAAAATTTTATCATCAGCATTATCACCTTCTTCAGGGATCTAGGCCCCGGTGCAGTGATCGCAGCCCTGGGCTGGGAGTCTGGGGCCTGGACTCTACCTCGTTGGGGGCCTCAGTTTCCCGAGGGTGCGAGGGGGCCTGGGCTCCATGGTCAGTGAGGGCATCCTGGCTGAGATGTCCAAGGCCCTGTGATTGTGAGATCTGGGCCTTCCCTTGTCCCTGCAGTGGTGTCGGACCTGTGTGCCACAGGAGACCACGACTGCGAGCAGGTGTGCATCAGCTCCCCGGGTTCCTACGCCTGTGCCTGCCGCGAGGGCTTCACCCTCAACAGTGATGGCAAGACCTGCAATGGTCAGTGGGCTGGACATAGGCAAGCCCCGGGAGGGTGGGGGGAGGTGACGGGGCTTGGCTGTTCCCCAGGAAACCACCGGATCCTTTCTGCCCTTTGCCCCTGGACTAATCATCAAAGTAGATAGTTGCCTTTTAGAGTTTGTGTCTGCAGAAAGTTCTCTCCTGACTTGTGTCCCTTTTTTAAATACAACGGGTGGTGGGTTTAGTGTGGTTTATCCTCAGACTCAAATCCTGGTGCCACCCTCTCTGAGATGTGTGATTTAACAGCCGTTGGAGCTTCGGTTTCCAATGCTGTAGCATGTGGCCGGTAACCTTGGCTTATAGAGGCAGTTTGAGGGCAAAATGGAATGATCCCAGCACAGAGCTTGGTGTGTGGTGGGTGCCCAGCCAGTGGTCGGGATGGATGACCATGTCCTTAAGCCTCAGCCCCTTGCCTTCCCGCCCTTCCCAGTCTGCAGTGGTGGTGGTGGCAGCTTGGCCACTGACCTGGTCTTCCTCATTGATGGATCCAAGAGTGTGCGGCCGGAGAACTTTGAGCTGGTGAAGAAGTTCATCAACCAGATTGTGGACACCCTGGACGTGTCAGACAAGCTGGCCCAGGTGGGGCTGGTGCAGTACTCGAGCTCTGTGCGCCAGGAGTTCCCGCTGGGCCGCTTCCACACCAAGAAGGACATCAAGGCGGCTGTGCGGAATATGTCCTACATGGAGAAGGGCACCATGACCGGGGCTGCCCTCAAGTACCTCATTGACAATTCCTTCACTGTGTCCAGCGGGGCCAGGCCCGGCGCCCAGAAGGTGGGCATTGTCTTCACTGATGGCCGGAGCCAGGACTACATTAACGATGCTGCCAGGAAGGCCAAGGACCTCGGTAGGTGCTGCCTGCCTGGACCCTGGACACCACTGATGGCCAGGGGTACACACAGGTACAGCCCGACTGTAGTTTACCTTGGTGTATTCTGATTAGCACCCTCAACCCAGGTGAATTTGATTGGGAAGGATTGGTTAGTCCAACTGAGGCCCCAGAAAAGTTAAGTGGCTCGTTTATATGGTCCTTTTGTGGATGAGGATGGGAACTTTTCCAGTTGAATGTTCCCAAGAACACACTAACTGTTGGAAAGCAAACCCTACTTTGGGACAATGCTGAGCCTCAGGTTTGTCACCTATTAAAAAAGGAAAACAATTACCACCAAATGGATGCTTATGAGGGTTCAATGAAGCTCTCAGAACAAAGATTCCGGTACAGGAGTCCCTGCAGGATCTGACAGGTGAACTTCAGTAAATGTCCACATCATCATTGTCCCAGGCATTGTGCTTGCAATTCCAGCAGCTGCCACCAGGAGGTGTCTGGTGTTGGCTGTCTAGGCGTTCCCCAGGAGGCCTGGCCACATGGCTGCCTGTCCCCATGGCCAGCCTTGCTTGTCTTGCTCCTCCTGGCAGGCTTTAAGATGTTTGCTGTGGGCGTGGGCAACGCCGTGGAGGACGAGCTGAGGGAAATCGCCTCGGAGCCAGTGGCAGAGCACTACTTCTACACGGCTGACTTCAAGACCATCAACCAGATAGGCAAGAAGTTGCAGGAGAAGATCTGTGTGGGTGAGTGAGGCCAGGGCTGGCATCCTGGAAGGGTGTGGGTGGGGAGAAGCAGTTGGCAGAACCGGGAGGTGGGCTGGCCAGCTCAGCGCTCACTGCCGGCAAACATATATTGAATGCTCATTATGTGGATGATGCTGTTCTCAGTGCTCGAGCATTAAATCATTCAATCCCATTTGGTAGGGATGCCGTTATCCCCATGTACGGGCAGGAAAGCCAAGGCCAGGAGGGTGGAACAACTGCTAATAAAGGGCGGGGGCAGGATTTGAATGCTGCTGCCTCCCCTGGTCCTCCCTGGTGGCCTCGCCAGCTGGTTCCTCATGGTAAAGAGTGTGGGTGCCAGAGCCAGAGTACCTGGCTTTGCAATTTTGCTCTGACACCATGGCCATGGGCGAATGGTTCCTCTTCTTGGATTCGTTTGTAAAATGAGATTAATGACTTCAAACCCAAAGAGTTGGGGCAAGGATGACAAGATGACAGAAGGCCCCTAATGGTGTACATGGTGGGTGCCCGGCACAGGGATGCTATTATTGTAGTTTGTTATCGGGGCTCTGAGGGACCAGGAAGACATTCAGGGGTCTCCCCTCCATCACTCCTAGGGGCTCTGTCTCGGGGACTCTGTCTCTCCACCCTCTCAGACATGAGGCCCCCCACTATCCCAGGACTCCCCAGTCCTGGCCCTGGGCAGTGACTGCTGCCCTCCCTCTGGGCAACCACTCAGCAGCCCCTTCCTCTTCCCCGCATTCTCATCCATTGCAGAGGAAGACCCGTGCGCCTGCGAGTCCGTGGTGAAATTCCAGGAGGAAGTGGAGGGGCTGCTGCAGGCCCTGACCAGGAAACATATCCTTCCCTGGAGGCGGCTGCGGCCGGGGAGGGCTGGCAGTGTGGGGCGGAGGGGGGCGGGCCATGTGCGGGTGTGTCGGGGCAGGTCCTCCTGCCTGCTTCCTGCTGAAGGAGGGCTGCGTTTTGGCCAGATAGGCTGGTGCCAGCTTTGGTACAGACCCTATCAAAGCACAGGCTCCTAGAGGGTAAACAGGGAAACTGAGGCAGAAGCAAGGATCTGGGGACTGGACACACACACAGTCTGCACATGCTCAAGAGAACATGGTGCTCTGTGGATTCCCGATTCCCAAGGCTCTCAGTGACTTGGCTGACACCAACCTCTACTCAGGGGTGGGGCTGGGCCACCAAGAGCTCCCCTGGGTCAGGACCCAGCAGGGCGAGCGGGGCTGGGCGCGTGGGGCTCACAGTAACCGGCTGTGCTTTTTGGTGGAAAGCATTGTCCTGAGGACAGTGGATGGATGAGTTTTGGCAGAGGGTGGAACACATGCTATAGGAGGCGAGAGAGAACCCTAGACGAGGGGCCCTGTGGTGGCAACAGGAAGGGGGGTCCCAAGAGTGGAGCTGCACCTGTCACTGCTCTGATATGACCAGCCTGCACCCCTCCTTAACTCTGAGTCCACTGGAAGCTGTGAGTAAGCGGCTGGCCATCCTGGAGAACAGGATCGTCTAAGGCCACCTGTCCCTCCCGTGGCCTCTCCGTCTCTCCACCCCGAGCGCAGGGTCCTGCGTGTTCCCCAAGAGCCCGAGCGTAGTCTAGCTTTGCCATGTTAGCGAGGGAGGCCAGCCCGGGAGCGGGAGGGAGTGTGTTTGAGTGTGCCTGTTGGCAGCGTGTGCTGGCGTTTGGGAGCACATGTGTGTGCACGTGCATGTGTGAGCGTGTGCAAGTATGTATGTGTGTGCGCATGTGCATATGTGTGTGCACACACCTGAGGGAAGGTGTGAGCGCGGTAGCTGGAACGTGGGTGCGAGAGTCAGAACGTAGGTGTGAGTGTGAGAGGGACTGCGTTTGCATGTTTTCTCATCAAAAGCTTAATATATTCCTATTTTTTTTAGTTAACCCTTTCTTGACTCCAAGTGCTGTGAATCTGTTTTCTGATTTCTCTATTCCCTGATGAGAAACAATTAAATGTGATTAACTTAAGCACTGAGTGGGGCTAGAGGCAGTGTGGTTATTTGGGGAGCAGGAGAAGGGGTTGATGAGGGTGGCAGGTGGGGGGTTGCTGGGATGGCAACCATGGTGGTGACAGTGGTGACAGTGACCACACCAAAACCAGCTCACCTTTGTCCTGCCGTTTCAGTTGCAAGTCCATTCACATAACCTCATTTCATCCTCCCAGTAACTGAACCCAGAAAAGGCTTGAGCCAACCCCACTTTGCAGAGGGGACAGCTGGGAGTCTGAGTGATGAAATGACGGCTCAGCAATGGGTCGGGGGGACAGACAGGCCTGGGTTTGGGACTGCAGGACATTAAAGAAAAAGTCCACTGGGGGCTGTGGGTAAGCAGCTGGCCACCTCGGAGAACAGGACCGACTAAGGCCACCTGTCCATCCTGTTGGTGAAATGGGGCAATGGCACCAGATCAGACTTATTTGTTCATTCATTCATTCATTCATTCAAACATCAAATCCTTGTAGAGTATACCTCAATGTCAGGCATGGGGAGCTGGTGGTGTATGAGACAGACATGGTTCCTGCCCTTAAGGGACTTACACTTGGGCGGGGTGCTCGTGTCACTGTCACCCAGCTAGTGGAAGAGAGTGGGTTCACGCTGTACCAGGGGTCTGTGCCTCCTCTCCATATCCGGGAGCCCACGTGGGAGTGTGTGTGAGTGTGTGTGCTAGCTGATGGGCAGGCTTTCAGCCTGAGCCTGGGCTGGCCCTCGGTGCTCCTCCACGCCCCCACCCTTGTCGTCTTTATTGTTTTCTCTACATGAGCAGCTTCACCACCCACTTCCCACCCCAGGGGCTGCACAGGGACAGACTCTTGATCCACATGTCACCTTCACCCCAGCCCCTCCGGAAGTTCACCAGCCACACCCTGAGATCCCACCCCCTTTCTCAGGCTCAAGTGGGTGCTTCAGTGATTTTTCTACACTCTTTCTTGTTTAACGGAGCATTTTTAGTGTCACTACTGGAGTCACACTTGAGAGCATGTTTAAAAGGCTTTTACAAGAAGCTCAGACCATGCTGCAAGCTCTTCCTCACAGGCAGTTCAAGAGGCAGAAAAAGAACACTAACTATAGCCCAGAGCCGCATCAACATGACAGCACAACTACACAAGAGCAACTTAACCACGCACAGCCACCGCTACCCCTGTGACCTGACCACCACCTCGAACACCGTTCACTGGGCCTGTTCTCTGTGCCAGGCCCTGGGGCAGGGCTTTCTGCTGTCCAGGGAGGCTCCTTGTCACAGCCCCAGGCCCCATGTTGTGACAGCTCACCTCATACTTCCTTTCTTCTGGGATTGTCTGCTCCTTTCCTCTCCACACACATGGGCTGAGGGAGCTGCGGCTGTGTCGTTGTGGTGTAACCCAGTCTCCTGGCCTCAGCTGATTGGGTGAGCGATGGACATTTGACCTAAGTTGGGCAGAGCAGCACTTTTCTTCTGGGAATGTGAACATGGGGACCCTGGTTACCTGGCTGGTGGTGCTGGAGCTGGGAAGGTCTCTGTTTTCTTCCAAGTGTGCTAAAAGGTGAAGATTGGAGGCCACCATCCTCAGGAAAGGGGAAAACAGCATTTGCTGGGTTGCTGATGGCATTCCAGTCTACGAGTGTTTCAGTCATCTATTGCTGTGTAACAAACTGACCCCAAACTTAGTGGCTCAGAACAACCACCTATTATTGTTGTGATTCTGTATGTTGACTGGGCTCAGTTGGGTGGTTCTTCTGCTCCAAGTGGTGTTTGCTGGTATTGTAGTCATTTGGGTCTCAGCCAGGCTGGAACATCTAGCATGGGTCACTCATCTGACTGCTGTCTTGGTAGAATCAGCTGGAAGACTGGGCCTTTCTCTCTCTCTGTAGTCTCAGGGCCTTACTTTCTCCATGTGGGCTCTCCAGGAGGGGGACAAGATTTCTTACATGGTAACTCCAAAAGCTTCTTAGGGCTGAGGCCCCAAATTGTCGTGACATTACTTTCACTGCATTTCATTGGTCAAAGTAGTTGTAGGCCAACCCAAATTCAAGGATTAGAAGATAAACTCTGCCTCTCCATGGAGGAGAGTGACAAAGAATTTGCGACTGCCTTTAATTCACCACATGGGGTCATTCACTGGTCTCCCTCATTGGATCTGGCTATCCTCCCTGCCTTTGACATTTACAAGATACCCAGGAAACTTTCTCAGCATAGTTAAGCTTGGTTAAGTTTCTGTTTCATGCAATGCAAGAGGCCTGACTCAGCTGTCCTCTTTCAACTCTAATTCCTTCCACCTGTGTGGGGTCCTAGTTATCCCAGTTCTCATCCTTTAATTCTGGACTATCCTGGGTCCCAGCCCCTGCACTGCTCCTCTGCTGCCCGCTGAGTTGGCAAGGCCCGCCACGTCTCTGAGTCCCACAGTCTACATCTATGGAAAGGAAATGCTAGCACCATGTCCCAGCTGTGCAGGAGATAATGAACAGGGAGCGCCAAGCACAGTGCCCACCCACACTTTGCATCCAGAGTGGAGTTGGCACCACTGCCACCATGTGCAGGTGGTCTCCTGGCCTCAAGGAGATACCCACACTTGTTGGCTCTTCAATAGCTCTCTTGCTCCCATCTGGCACCCATGTCCCTTGAGATGCTGTGGCCACCTGGGGCACCCACTGCCAGCTGGGAAACCACCCCAGAGTGTGCACCGTGGCTCTCTGCAAGTCTTCTCTCCTCAGCAGGGAGCCTGGCCCTCCTGTGTCTTGTTAACAGGTATCACCCTCCCCCCCACTCCCAGTTTCACCAGGAGGCAAAGATGAGGACAGCTTTGAGCACACCAGCCAGAGTGTGCCAGGGCACAGGCGGGCAAGGCGTAGAGGGTGGTATGAGTACTCAAGCTTCTGGGGGTGGAAGGGGTGGAGTATGGAGGCCACATGGCCAGGGGCTGCTGTTACAAACAGGACTAGTTTTCCCCTCAAGCCCTGGGTGGGTGTGAAGCAGACTGCAAAGTGGGAAGTGGCTGAGGCTGGGCTAGGCAGGGACCAAGCATCCAGCTCGCACATTCAAGGAGGTTCGGTGACCTTGAGGCTGGCCCCGCTGGGCCGTGTGCAGCAGGTGACCCACCTGTTGGGGCAGTGGTGACTCGGGCTGCATTTAAATCTTTACTTTCAGGGAGAGTTAGTTGAGAAACTGCTCGTGAGTGGTGACACTGGGGACACTGAATAAACCTTCCAGTGACCTTGTGCCCTGTTTCCAACATTCCTGTCCGAGGAGCTCCCAAGCAGGATTGGGGGGGGGGCGTGTAAGAAGCAGCTGGCATGGAGCCCGGGAGACTGGACCATGGGTGTCATGGGTTGGAGTGGAGGCGAGCTGGGGCCCTCGGTGGCAGGTTGTAGAAACTGCAGACTGCACGCCAACCAGCTTAAGCACAGAAGGCTGCTCATGGGACCTGTGACTGGAGGTCCTGGGCTCAGTGATGTCACCAGGCCTTGGTTCGTCTGCATTCTTGGCTCTGGTTTCCACCTAGGCAGGCCTCTCCCCGTGGCAGCCCCGCTGCCCCGAGTCACACCCTTCAGGCTCCAAGTCCACAGAATTCCGCCTCACTGGCTTGAACTGGGAGCCATGCCCAGCGGTGGGCTCTCGCTGCAGCCAGGGGGATGCAGGGCCCTGGCCTTTCCAGGGGAAGGGGCTGCACGAGCCCCCAGGACTGAGCGTGCCGAGCAGTAGTTACTAGCGACAGATGCCAGAGCCCGGGAGCTGGGTGGGCAGAACCCACAGACGTCCCCAGTGGGGGTGGGGGGTCAGAGACCCGCAAGCCTTGTCTGCAAATAGGTCCTGAGGACCTCAGTACTCCCTACGTGGGGCGTGGAGGGGCTGGCTCCTCCCGGACCCTGCCGCCAGGCCCAGAGGGGGCAGGGCCAGCTTCTCTCCTCTTTCAAATCAAACTCCTGCCCTTCATGCACCACAGCTCCCCCCACGGCGACTCCAGATCCTCACGAAATCCAGGCCCTCCTGTAATCTCCATGTCTCTCTCTGCTCTAGGTTTGATTAGCAGAAGGTTGTAAACAAATCCCGGAAAGAAAGAAAACCAGCTCTCCCCAGGGCAGCCATGGTCTGCCGGCAGATGGCAAGTTACTTTGTAACCTATAATTTTGTTTTTGTTTCTTTTTGAAGTTTGTATAGATAAACAAGACTAAACTAATTAGGATTTTTTTTTTTAATTTCTTTCTTTAGGCCTTGGACTATGATGGGAGTCTCTTGGCCCCACAGTGAATTGGTTTCAGTAAGGGTTTGTCTTCGCAATTACAGTTCATTAACGGGTTTACAAGGGAGGGGAGATAGCAAAGTCTGTTAAGGGGGTTGTTTTCCATTTCTCCTCTTTTAATTGCGGTGGTTTTCTCCCGGACCAGTGCTCTTTGAGAAAAGGGGTGGGAGGTGGAGAGATGCGATACCCCATCTGCTCCAGATGTGAACACCATTGATCCGGGAGAAGACAGGAGCTGCTCCCGGGCTTCCCGCTACCCAGGATGGACCTGCCTCCTCTTCAGAGCTGCCGCGTGGCCGGGAGGCTCAGCCACGGGCCCCTGGTTGGCATCAGAGCATGCTGACAAGGGGAGGGGGCAGCTCTGCTCATGGAGCGTGGCAGCCAGGGAGGACTTGGAGTCAGAATCAGATTTGGGTCACCTGCTGAGTTGCCACTTTTGGATCGCACTGTTTGCCAGGTGACACACACACAATGTCCAACTCAGACGTTTCAGTGATCCTTTTAATAAGCTTGATTCACAGACAGGGAAAGCAAGGCTATCAGATGTGAAATGTCACACAGCTGGGAAAGAGCTGGGCTGGAATTCGAACCCTGAAACCTCTGGTTCCAAAATTGGGGCTCTTTCCAGAACATGGCCTCTCTGAGGTTCAGACCCACTGTGATGAAAGGGGGTTCTAGTCCTTTCTTCACAGGTTGGGACCATCACAGGTTAATTGGCTTCTCTGCCTTTGGGATCTTGTTCTTTAGTCCGTTC